ATCCCCCTCCCCCTCCAGCTGAAACCCTCCCTATATCGACCATCTCCTGAACCCTCTCCTCCCCCCCCCCCCCCCCCCACCTCCCCTCCAAAAGAGACGCCGACCCAGTGACTGACCATTGACTCGTTAACCCATATTATCCGACCGAGATGCGAGACGAGAGGGTTTCGCGATACCGCAGATCGTCGTCGTCTTCGCTCTCGTATGCATCCATCGTATGTATCGTTTGCGTAGGGCGTTGGTGTTGTTGTTGGTGGTGGTGGTGGTGGTGTTGTTGTTGTTGTTGTTGTTGTTGTTGTTGGTGGTGGTGGTGGTGGTGGTGGTGTTGTTTATCCTCGCCTTCGGTTGGTTTACATGGTTGGGTGGTTGTGATTTGGTATGGTGTGAAGTGATGGAGTGGAGTGGAGTGGATGTGAGGTGGATGGAGTGGATGTGATGGAGTGATGGAGTGAAGTGATGTGAGGTGGATGGAGTGGAGTGGATGTGGAGTGGATGGAGTGGATATATGTGTATGCTTCTCGAGAGGAACAAACCTTGAAGCATTGATGGATTAGGCTTGTTTCAAGGTTGAGTCGGGTGGCTTTGCTTGCCTACTTGTTTATTCGTTGGTTCGGCACTGATGGCGTAGGATGGGATGTGGATGGGATGGGATGGGATGGGATGGGATGGGATGTGTGTATGTGTGTATGGGCGTGTATGTGTATGTGTATGTGTGTGTGTGTGTGTGTATGTATGTCTTAAGTCTTGCCTAACGAGAGGAGCGCATATGTAACGTATATATATCGTGCGGCGCCTCTTTCGTCTTCTTCTTCTTCTTCTTCTCCTCCTCTTCCTCCTCCTTCTCTCTCCATCGTTTATAGATATGGGAGATGAGACGGGGGAAGGGATAGGCGTAGGTGGCCAAGTGGATGGATGGATGGAGTCTGTTGTTGATATTCGCTTGCGCTTGCGCTTGCGAGGCTGTTTCTGGCTAGGCGAAAGGGGGAAAGGGGGGGTTAATGGGTAGGTAGGTAGGTAGGTAAGTAGGCAATAATATAAGGCGAGGAGATTATAGATAGACTTGGGGCATTGTTATGAGAGTTTTATAATCGCTTTCCAGAATTTCCCCCGCTTCATTTCTGCAAACGAGGCGTTACAGGTAGGTAGGTAGGTAGGTAGGTGGGTAGGTGTAAGCAGAGACCGACCTGTACTCCGTCGTAGATGCCCTTGAAGGACTACACTACCTCGTATCTCTCACCAATCTGGACAGCCAGGGGACCAAGAGAGAAAAAGTTGTTCGTTGGTTTGTTCATAGGTGCGTATTCTAGCACGTTCAAAAGAGAGCCATCAGCACGACTCCACTACAAGCAAAGCCCATCCTGTCAAAATCCCCAACCCAAAACATTATCAAGCAACTGGTGCCACCCGTCCCATCCATTCATATGACCAGTGTCAATGTCGTAAAAGCCATAAAACCATAAGCCCATTCTCATTATGGATCGGTACGCCATGTTCTGTACCCTGTGGCTCATCCTGGTGAAGACGGCCTTTTGTCTGGAAACGATTCCGGGTCCAATTCCTAAAGCGCTGCACGCTGCACGCTGCATGCTATCTGTATCAAGTGGCTCGTTCAATTTAAGCCTGCGTCGTCGTCTTCGGCTGCTCCACGTAGGACTTCATGATTTTGTTGAAATCCGATTCGTTGACCACCGCGCCAGTCTCAGAACACTTGGCTTTCTTTTGAAGGTCCTTGCAGAGGGAATCCAAGTCGAAGTCGCCTTCCTTGACCTTGGGACACGCTTGCAGACGATCCCTGGACACATGTTAGTAAATGATATGACAGGCCTGCGGTTGTACATGTCAGTGTGGTAGGGCATACCAAATTGTATTGCAGTTGAGCATCTGTGCCCGATCTTCTCCCGGAACAACCTCCTCAGCCTCCTCCTTATTCTGCGCCATATCAATTTGATCAACCAAGCCCTTCTTAGGTGGGGCGGGACTTGGTGCCATGTTAAATGGATTAGCGAAGTCTCCGAGGGCGAAAGAGTCAGTGAAGAAACTATCTCCGAAAGCTTCATTTTGGAGAATGTTGTCTTGCGACTCTCGGTAATCACCAAACAGTTGAGGATCGAATTGATTATTGTTCTGTTGGGCAAACCAGTCAATTCCGTTAACATCGAATGCTGGAGGATTGAAAGTCTCTGAGCCTGCAAAAGGTTCAGAGAGTAGGCGCGGAATGGGATTTTGGGAGTCGCCACACGCCATGTTCAGCTGATCGCAGAAGGTAGGCATGCCTTCGCCACTGACTGTATTTTCCTCTCCAATGGTTGTAAGTGAGCTATCATGAGGCTTGTTGCAGACCGGGGATTGCAGAGTAGGCTCTGGAGAAGTTCCGCAAGATGAACTCGGTTCGTGGTTTGAGTTGGACGACACAGAAGGAGAGCTGTATGATGTATTATGACCAGTACTCAAATTGCCACTGGCAGAATCTGCACTTGACCTCGATCCATTTGAGCCATTGTTGTTATTCGTCAAGTACTCGAAAGATGAGGTATTTGTAACGCTTTCGAGTAGCGTGGGGCTGAAAAGGCCAGAGAGACTTGACATATCCCCCCCATCTAGCTGGGCAGGTGTCTGTGTCAACCCAGCACTTGGGCCGTTGCTTGCTGGGTATTGCAAAGATTGGTTACGAGGGCTGACTTGATCCTTTTCATGCGGATGCGCAGTTTGGTTGCCAGTAACGGGAGGTGGCTCAGAAATCCGCGTGCCGTTGACATTACTGATTGCCGGAGGTCCAGGGAGGCGGCCAAACCTAGGGAACTCAAATTCGAAGTTTACATCACTGGGATTGTTAAGTCCTCCGTTTGCAAAGCCCTTGGCGAGGTATGGTGGCAATCCATTGCCTAGAGACGGAGCACGTTGGGGAGCTCCATTCAAGGATGACCTCCTGCGATATTCTCTTAACTCCATCGACATTTTCTCTATTTGAGCACGCAGGATGCTGTTTTCGTGGTTGGCCGACTCGGATGCCTTCTCTAAGTCCTCAACCTTGGTCTCAAGGTCCTTCAGATGCTTTTCCTTACGTTCTCGGAAGGCCCGTTGAGCGGCACGATTCTGAGCTTTGCGCTTCTGTAAAAGTATAAGCAAAGGCTGGTGAGTAAACACATGCATTTATGCAATTCTCACCGAAGTGGGTTCGGATGTCAGTGGCTTTCTTCCCGGCTTCTTAGAGGTCTTCTCATCGCCCTCTCTTCTCTTACCGCCACCGTCCTCCTCGGCGCCCTCGTCTTCAGGATGGCTTCGCTTATCATGGGTATCATTCTCGCCTCCGTCCGAAGAGCTTCCGGGCAAGTTGCCGAACATTTGGCCTTTAGAGCCGTTGTTGAATTCACTGTAATCAAAGCTTGCGTCGCCCTCGAATTCGTAATCGTAATCGATGAAAGGGCTCTCCTCAAAGCCATTCAAGGCACCCGGAATCGAGGTCTGCACAGGAGACTCGGTGAAAGAGCCAGGGACCATTGTTTTTGGTTTAGAGGGTGAAGTTTCTGGGTTGGAGTTGTTACTGGAATTCAGAGCTGCAAAAATAAGCTCCTCTTGACGCGCTGACAGTGCAAGCCCCGGGTTGCTGATATTGGGTCTGACTTGGGTGGAATCCATGGGCGCACTCTCCGGTGAGCCTGATGTTGGAGAGGGCAGAGAATGATGGATGACAAAGTTTTGCAAAGAGGAGAAGAGAAACAGCGGAACAGATGACAGAAGATCCGGCGTAAGCTTGTCTGGCAATGTGCCTGTGCCGGCTAAAGCAGAGACGGGCTGGGATGCGAGGCCGAGGTGGAAGGGCATGGAAATGTCGACGGTGGCAAAATGCCGAAGTTGACTTTGATTGTACTCCCACCTACTACATACCCACCGAGGTAGTCTTTACAGCCGTGGAGATCAAAAAGGGGCAGCCAAAGAGCCTTCTCAGTCTCTATTCCCATCTCTATATCATCCATCCATGTATCCATATCCATATTCTTATCCATATTCATATTCATATTCATATCCATATCGAAGTAAAACATAACTGCATTTGAAACCATCTTGTGGAACGAAGCGACGCAATTGTTGTCCGACCATCAAGCCAAGCCTTATTATACTGTACATGATTCATCCCGTGTCGAGATAAGACTCCCATTTACAACTAGATAAACTCTTGAGTCAACCACGATCACAACCAACAACTACAACCCTACACCCACCACATTCTGTGAATAGCCCGCAGACTGGTGGTATCTCGCATTTACCTCCACGTTGAGCCATGGATCTTGCTTATGATCATATCCTAGAGGAGGCTCTCTCCCCGGAACAGGGAGCCGAACAGAAGACAAAGCCGGCGGAAACGAACACGCTCAACTCCGACCTCCAGGAAGCATACAAAGCTATCTCCTTAAGCCCTTGGGGTGCGAAACTAGGGGGCTTCCTTGGAACTGTAGTCAAGCAGGTGAAAAAGGTCCTATGCTTTGCCAAAATCCACAATACTCATATCTTCTCAGGGCGAGTCTGTCTACAAAGAGGCCCAGAAGGAACTTACAGAGGTCGGGGAAGAAGCCACCAAGGGACTAAGTGATCTGCGATTATCTATTGTCAGTCGGACCAGAGCCATATCTACAGCCCAGACCCCCGCGACCAGCGAACAGACCGAGAAGAATGGTGAAGCTAGCGGGGAGAAGGATATGTCGACTGAAGAGGCACTGAAGGAGTCCGAGGGCGTCCTGGCTAGATTACGATCCGAGGCCGCCAAACGATTGAAGGAAATAGAAAAGGCAGAAGATGCTGCAGATGAGGCACTCCTAAAATTTGGAACAAACCTCCGAAACTTCCTTCGGGATGCAGTCACTATCGCACCTCCATCCGGCGAGGATGGTGCGCAAGGAAGTACGGTACTGTTTGAGAGCAAAGATGCTTCCGGGAAGAGAGTCATTCATACTACGCGATTTGATGCGCAACTCCACGTTATCCATTCGTCTCAGGACAGCTTTACCAAGGACCCGGTCAGCGAAGAGTATGAGTCTTGGAAGAAGACATTCAACGCCGACAACCAAACCGATGAGATAAGCAAGGACTTGGAGAAGTTTACTGAGCTGCGCTCTTCCATGGAAAAGCTGGTCCCGGATACTGTGTCTTATGAAGACTTCTGGGCCCGCTACTACTTTCTTCGACATAGCATTGAGACAGCCGAGGCACGAAGAAGAGATCTACTCAAAGGTAAAAATTCTGGTTGAGACTCACATCGCGGCTAGCTGACAATATGCAGGCGCCGCAGCTTCTGCAGAAGAAGAGGTTGGATGGGATGAGGAATCCGAGGATGAGAGTGCTCCAAAGACTGCCAAGGCGAAATCCGAGATCGCCCGCCCTGCTTCCACTGGATCATCCACCACTCTCCACCCAGCAACTCCGGTCCAAGATTCCACATTCCTGAAGCCAGAGGAGTCACGAAAATCCAACGACGAGGTATCCCGGGCTGACAGTGACGGTTCCTATGACGTTGTGGGGGCAGCTTCTGGCGCGCCTAGTCGTGCCCCCGGTAGTCCCAAAGAATCGCCAAAAGGAGAGGATAGCGAGGAAGAGGATTGGGAGTAGAGTTGTAAAGAGATCCGAGTGGCTTACTTCGTTCATAGGCGTCAGTGACCTCCCATGTGGGTATTTTGATATGGCGTTACTGTTTCAGGGACTTTAGTGCTTCTCGCGACAAGTCTGCACTACCTGTAGACTATCTGTTTTAATGCAGCGTGGATATCCCCAATGAACGCCATTCCAATGCTAACGATAACGCCCGAAAATCTCACATGTGATCGCCCACATCACCTCTTCTTGGTAACTTTGGTAAACCCATCTTCGTCGACTTCCGCCACAACCGGTTCCCTGACTCTGACCAACGGCGGCGCCTCATTCATTTCGAAATCTTCATCGTCCTCATCATCTTCATCGTCCTCGTTCTCATCCTCATCCTCCCCTTCTCCCTCTTTCTTGGCAAATATCTTCCCAATATCCTGCTTCCCTCCCTTCGCATCCCACTTCCTCTTCATCTCCAGCACCTCACTGAAATTTCCATTCCCACAATTCTTCCGCAGCCGCACGATCTGCTCCGCAACCTCGAGCGCGCTGTCGTCCTCCACGCCGACCTCAAACTCGTCCACCATGACCTGCAGCAGGAACGTCTCGATCCACTCTGCATCCTCCTCAGGATTCTCGATCACGACGTCGGAAGTGGCGCCGGCAAACCATTGGCGCTTCTCGTCACTGTCGGCGCCGCCCCAGGAGTTGGTTACGGCAAGGGAGAGGGCCGGCCAGGAGTACAGGCTGAGCGCAATGCCGAGTTCAAGGTGGTCTCTGCATTGATCTGTTGTTTCTATTAGTATTCAAGCATGGCAGCAGTTAAAGAGGGGGGTATACCAGGCGTCGGCGTGCTCTTCGAGCTACTGCCACTGGAAGTCTCCATCTGATTCAAGGCGAAAGACAAGGGAGTGCTCTGCTCTGAGGCGAGGGGCTGATTTTTTTTAAAAAAAAAACTCGTGGCTCGATGGCATTCGCTTAATTGTGACGTCAACAGTAAGACAGGGGTACCTTGGCTCTGGCTAAGGAGACGGCCGTCTCTGTTCAGAACGCTCAGTGACAACGGCGATCAACAACCATTGTCATGTCACTTTTATTTTAATGTGTAATTGATTCTTGTTGATCGAGAATCCAATTTTCCTCCCACAGAATTCTCTTCCACATTGGTAACGCCAACAATTTGAAACGAAAGAAATCGGACTGTCGGTGCAACACTTAATCTTGCCGTTGATTCTAAGACGACGTCGCAAAGAGGCAGCATGGTATTCAATACAGCAACTGTTGGGGGCGCGGTGACTCCTGTGGTCATACAGACGTTCTTGAGCCATGTATGCCTATCTCTATACTTTTCTAGTAAACAATCGCTCACGGGGAACAAAAGTACCTCAACCGCAAGCCTCTTGCCCAAAAGCCCACGGCACATGTCTCCTATGATGAAGGCCTGCAACTCATTCGTAAATTCCTCCTCTACGCCTCTTACCACACAGTCGAGGACCTCCAACGCTTCACCGCGCAATGGGTTCCTCATCCGCGCTGGGTCAAGGTTGACGAAGTCACCATCTCCGAAGAGCACGTCAAGAAAGCCGCGGAGCACATCCAAGAGCAGTTGGGCGAGCATGGAATTAAAAAGGTTGGCGGGAAGACGTGGTGGCAATGGCGCAGGCCAGGTAGTGAAGTCAAGGCTGAGTGGATCGAAATGAGATCTGATTATAACGAGAGAAAGGTTAAAAAAGATCCGGGGAAAAGAGTCATGCTTTATGTGCATGGTGGAGCGTACTTCTTTGGGAGTGTGGATGAACACCGGTATCAGATGCAGAGACATGCACGGAAGTTGAAGGCTAGAGTTTTTGCTCGGTAAGTTTTCGGATGAGACGTTGACAAATTCGCTACTAACTGTTGGCAGTGAGTTTTGTGATAGTCTAGGCCTGGAACTTTCTAATGTTTACAGCACGGTATCGACTGGCACCTCAATTCCCATTTCCTTGCGGTCTGCACGATTGCTTGGCTGCGTATTTGTACCTTCTTACGGTCCAGGACCCAACGACGATTATATTAGCGGGCGATTCTGCTGGTGGCGGAATGGTCTTGAGTATGCTCGTGGTGCTGCGGGATAGAAACCTGCCCTTGCCTGCGGGGGCTGTTTTAATCTCGCCATGGGTCGACCTGACTCACTCTTTTCCCAGTGTCGCTGGTGATAATCCGCTGGATTATATACCTCCTCATGGTTTCCACCAAAAACCCTCGCCCTCGTGGCCTCCTCCAAATTCTGATGATCTCGTGGCTATCGAGGAGGAAATTGCCAAGAATATGGCGAAAAAAGATCACGCTTCTCATCCACAGGAAAGTGAGGCAGATGCGGTCCAGGGTTTTCGTGTTGATCGTAACCCTCCTGCAGGATTGCACAATGACGACGCAGTGAGAGATTCAAGCAATGCACCAACAGCCAACACAGTTCCAGGGCAAGGACGCAACCTCTCAATTATGATTGAAGGCAAGCTGGTAGAGATTAAAGACCAGATTCAGATGTATGCTTCGAATCAACTTATTTCGCACCCACTCGTATCGCCGGTTCTACAGCCATCCTTGGGAGGGCTGCCGCCGTTGTTAATTCTGACGGGAGGTGGAGAAATGCTGAGGGATGAGCAGATTTACATCGCCCACAAGGCAGCAAATCCCATCATTTATGCACCCGGAGACGTGTTCCTTGACGAAAGTCTCCACAACTACAACAGAAACCAAGTCAACCGCTGGAAACCCACTGATGTTCAGCTACAAGTCTGGGATGATCTTTGCCACGTTGCTCCAACTTTAAGTTTCACTCGCCCTGCTAAATACATGTATCGATCGATCGCTCAATTCGGTGCATGGGCTCTTGCAAGAGCACAAGAATCCGAGATTGACATTTTGGATGACGATAGTGTTTCGGTTATTTCGCAATCTTCTGATTCTGGTGAAGAGGACGAAGCAGTTATGAGGGTATGAGCGATTATATTTCGTTGCGAGCATGTAGCTAACTCCCATCAGAAGCAAGCGACTCAGATTGATACTCGGCAAGTCGCTGGGCAGGTTGGCAAGGCAGGTGACCCCCTTCCACCATTCAATAAACATATGATCCGACAGCGAGTCGATCGCCATGGCAACATATTCAACCTGGAACCTGCATCTGAGCTCCCTGCTTGTAACGTACCAGCGAGCGAAGTTGGAGTCATTAAGGAAGGACCTGTCAAGAAATGGATGGCAGCTAAAAGAGAATGGGATACAAAATTTGCATCGGCTAAGCGCAAGATACAGAAACAGCGAGCAAAGGAGATGGCCAAAGGCTACGCTGATTTCGGACACGGAGAGGTACCTCCTCCGTCTGCGTTGGCTGGCAGACGTAAGGCCGGAGACGACTTCAGAGAAGAGAAGAAGAGTCGAAGCATGGGCATGAGTTTGTGGGCGCTATGGGGAAGTAAACATGATGAAAAGACTATGGCATTGGAGAAGGAAGCCGACAAAGAGCCGGAAACGACCGTTGCTTCTGCCGTAGATGGAGCTGGGGCTCGCCCGCTTCATGATACCAAGACGAACCAGGGGAAGGAGATGGATAGAGGGCGGAAGCCCGGTCATGATCGCCGCAGATCGCGTCGAAAGAATGTTGCCGATGAGCACCAGACTGGAGACAATGATGTGGATCAGAACACACCAGCGTTTGATCTGCTTACGATTCGAAACCAGCAGGCTGATACGCCACGCGATGAACATCTCACTCCGATGCTCACTACTGATAATTCCAATTACCCTTATGGTACCCCCGCTACCGTTGGCAATCAGCAGAGCGTCGAAGAATACGATCTTAAAAGACCAAAGGCAAACGGCATTGCGTTCCCTTTTACTTTGAAAGGTTATCAGAGCACAGCCAGCATGACGACGCTCACTAGCGTTGTGGGAGTCCCTCCTGCGAGCGACGTCCGAAATTCGGGGACGTTCACTAGCGGAGTATCGCAAAACAAGACTGATATCGATGCTTTGAATTCGACAGGAAACAGTAGTGAGGAAGCAAAGGCCAGCAGAGAAGTCGAGCAACCAACCTCGATTATGGCGTCGTCGAATGCTGGAGCTCTGGCTGCCAGTGAGATCGAAGGAAAGGGCAAGGAGAAAGTGGTTGAGAATGGAGAGGTGGTTTCTGCCGAGAGACCGCCTATGGAAACGTTTTTCACGGCCACAGATGTCACGGCTGTGTTGGAGAAAGCGCACAAGTGAGGTATTCGATGTCTATAAAGAGATCCGAGTTCGGCGTTTGCAGTATCCAGGCAGGTCGATACCCTTGGCAAGTAGTAAAGTGATTAAAGGTTATTCTTGGATTATTTAACATGTACATATAGATACGTTGCGTGGTCTTATAGTGTTTAATATACTTCCGGACAGAGTTTCTCGGTGTGCATTACAGTTAGAAGAGGCATGTGCAATGTTTCATAATCAGCACTGTGAGGTTCTGTCAAGTATATGGTCTGGAAGTCTTTGCGTGTTATTTGGGTGCAGCAGAATTTGCCGCTGAGCCTGATGAGTTGACTAAGCTAGGCAAGAGATACTGTTTCCAAGATGTGTTCGGCAGGAACAGGAGCCGAGCTCGCTTAATCAAATAGGGGGCTGTAGCGAGACAATACACACAGTCCTCCCCAACATTTTCATTCTAGTCGCCCTGATATGAGGCGGAGTTTGGAGAGACAGACATATCATATTTTTGCATGTCTCTCTCTCCAATGTAGTTCACTGGCGGTAGTATCAGGGGGCCACTTCCTTATTATCCAAGAATCTCGTTGACCAAGATTGATGAATCTCCACTCCAATTCACACTCCCACACAAACTGTTAGGTATCAGGGGATTGTTTCAAGCTTTGATTTGAGTGCTTCGGGGAATCGTCTTAATATTCGTTTTGCTGAATCCTGGTTTTCGATACATGGCCCTAAGAAAGCCGTCAATGCTGGCTAGATCATGTCACTAGCGGGTGTTAGCAGAGAGTTGGCGTACCTCGTTACCCAGATCTTTAGCGGGCGCATCGGTACTTTTATCCAGAGCCTGGGAACTATGATTCGCTTGCTGGGCATACGTCCACTGCAAATCGGACGCCGCTTTCGCCAGTTCTTCCTTGGTGCATTGCAACCCAGTCGTTGTAACGAATGGACCCATGTGCTTCACAACGCTGCGTTTCTTGCTTCTGAGCATGCGGTCGAACTCAAATATATTGAATACAGTAGCCATCACCGTCAGCGCGGTGACTGCGGAGCCCAGATAAAGGTGCGAAGCTAGCTCTCGCTGGCTTTGCAGGCTCTAGAAGCTGAGGTTTCTGGTCTGGTGGGAGACGAAGGCTTTGAAGCGCGAGCCGATGGTGGCGAGGTATTTACAGTCGATTCCGACGCTCTTGATATCCTAAAAAGAGAGATTCTCGATCAGGATTTCTAGGATTTTGAGAGAGATGGACGGTAGGTGACCTGGTCTCTGGGCCATGGTGAGTGAGTAGAGTGGCTTAGTACTTGCCGAAGCCTGATATCGGATTTTGACTTTTTTTGTTCCGTATCTGCTGAGATCTGGAATTGGAATATTCCCAGTCGTCTCGATGAGTACGTTGGTCTGAAGCATGGCTTTTGTAGGTTACTCGGGCTCAGATGCGCCGGCACAGCTGAGGCAGCTGGCCCAGCCCCAACGTTGACTCGGCGCTAGTGCGTAGTTCAACACAACGATTTGAGCAACCTAACGAATCGATATTATCAATTCATTGTGGAAATTTATCTGCTATCGCTGTAGATTCTTTGAGTAGCCCCCAAGTAACCTGGCCCTTGATTTATCGCAGCCCCTTAAATCTCCTAACCGAGCTTCAACGAGCTTTTGGTTACCAGCTCTCCTGCCTACAACTGTAACGATGACCAAACAGCTCGCCGGCAGACAGCATAATTCTTTCCTTGCTTTTGTACAATTGTTGATTTGAAACTGGGGCAAATTCGCAGTCCCACAGTTGTAGTGAGGAATTTCCATTGATTTGTAGGGTGCTAACCATTCTCGTTACAATGCCATAAGATACATCGCGATTGGAATAGTCCTTCAACTTTCAAGAGGACTGACGGTTGGATCCCAGGCCGATGGACTATATGCGTTATCGAAAGTGAGGCTTTTCATGTCCTCCTCTGTCAGTTTGATGTCGTAGATTGCCGCGTTATCTTGAATTCTGCTTGAAGTGATACTCTTTGGAAGAGGAACGAATCCTTGCTGCAAACTCCATCGGAGCAGGATTTGTGCAGCGCTCTTTTCGTACTTCTTCATCAGAGGGGAAAGATCTTTGTCGTCCAATCTCTGGCCGCGAACAAGGGGCGAGTATGCCTCGATCACGATATTTCGCTTCTTGCACCATTCTGGATGGTTTGTGATCAGTGGTATCTTCAGAAGTTGGCGAAGAGAAAGAAAGGGTAACAGTAGTCTCTTAGTTTGCAACGACTTACCAACAATATCAGCGCGAGGCAGCCAAGGATGCAGCTCCCATTGTCCAACGGAGATTACACCTCCCTTGCCTTTCCCACCCTCCTCCTCTAATTCCTTGATATGCTGCTCAAGCTCATCTAGGTGATGGACTCCGTAGTTGCTGACCCCGATGCTACGGACCTTGCCTTCTTCGACAGATTCTGCCAGTGCTTTCCAAGCACCTTTTCTGCCCTGTGAGCCCCCAAAAGGAGCGTGGATGAGCATGAGATCGAGGTAGGTCAGACCACTCTCTTTCAGACTTTTGTCGACTTGAGATTTGACGCCTTCATAGCTGAGATCACGTTTAAAGACTTTGCTGGTAAAGAATATGTCTTCTCGGGGGATGCCAGATTCTCGGATGGCCTTTCCGGATGGAGCTTCATTTAGATAGGCCGCTGCACAGTCTACCTAATAAAGCATGTTAGCCTCATATTTCAGAGGGTTTCGGGAAGAAGACGAACGTGTCGATATCCAGCCTTGAAGGCTTGCCTAACTACATCCTCACAGATGTCTGCTGGTCTGAGTGTTGTGATTAGCTGGGGACATGCAACGCGATTTGGTATTTGGTTGCGAACACTTGATAAACCTGCTTGCTGTCAGATGGAATATATCATTTGAATGACGAGTCTACATGCTCCATAACCTAGGACAGGAATCTCAAAGCCTGAATTCATGCGCTGCTTAGAGTTGACGGTAATGGCCGACATTGTGTGACTGGAAGTAATTATGAGCAAATGTAGGAACTCGTAGATAGAGAGAAAGAGATCAGACGGAATAGGTATCTAGGAGAGAGAGATTCGATTTCAAATCAAGGATTGGCACCGCCAGATTGTGCAGCCCAAAGATCCGATATCCGATCCGGAACCTACGTAGAGCTTGATACCGTAGGGTACGCCAAATGTTTCTGGACTTGTTGGATCCTAGTCATCGACGCTGGTACTTTGGGCATGTTGGAGCTGGGCTCAATTGTCACGGAATGCGAATCGATAAATAATATACCTACCTCCTACCTGGGCAAGTGTTAAAATATAACAGTCACGTGATCTATACATTTTGACTGTCCATGACATGAAGGCCTCTGTATGTTAAAAGCAGACAGTATATTAATCAATCCTTGTCTGTTTATTTATTTTTTTTCGATAAAAAAGGATATCAAAAACCAATACTTGCTCCGCGTAATTCCCCCATTGCAAAATAAATCACACATTGACAAGCTCTGTCCGTCGTGCCCCTCCATCTCCATTACCCATTACCCCTCCGTTATCGAACTCTTTAGCACAAGGCTGAACAACAACAAACAACTCGCGCCACTATCCGACCAGATCTCCAATATAATCTTGATCAAAACCAAATCTAGCTCAGATAGCAGCAGCTCCACCATCATCTGCGCGCGACAGGATGCAGCCCAAGAAGATAAATATCGAGAGCGACGGCTCCGGAACCGTCACCCTCGTCCCTGAAGAGCCTGAAGACATGGCAAGTGACGTCTCTCCCAGTTACAATCGCCCACGAGTTAACAATGCTCCCAATAGTGGCATGCCTACAACCTCATCGCTCCCTCCGACTTTCTTACCGCAGATGCTATTCGCCGAATCGCCACCGAGTCCTCAACAGGTAGCAGTAAATCCTACCGAGTCCGTATTACCTTGAAAATTCGAGTTACGTCTATAGACTTTGATCCCCAGGCTGGACAACTGCATATCAGCGGGCGTGTGTCAAACGAGAACGAATATGTCAAGATGGGCGCATACCATACCCTTGATCTCGAATTACAGCGGCGATTCACTTTAGAAAAGGGCGATGGTTGGGACTCTGTGGCGAAGGAAATCTTAGCTGAGGCTATCAAAGATGATAAGGAAGGGGTCGTACCAGCGGTCGTTATGCAAGAAGGCATGGCGAACATATGTCTTATTACCGAGCACCAAACAATCTTGAAACAACGAGTGGAGACTAGGATACCGAAGAAACGATCCGGCGGCGCGAGCAATCACGACGAAGCGCTGAAGAAATTCTACGAAGCAACTTTGAGAGCTCTAAGCAGCCATGTAGACATCACCCAACCACGGCCGATTTTGCTGGCAAGTCCTGGGTTCACGGCAGCCGGCTTTACCAAGCACATCGTCGATGAAGCAACACGGAAGGGAGAAAAGGCAGTTCTGGCGAACAAGAAAAACTTCGTTGTCATCCATTCCAGTTCGGGGCATCTTCACAGTTTGAACGAAGTGCTGAAAAGTCCAGAAGTTCTGGCAAAGCTGAAGAACACTAAATACGCGAGAGAAACTCGACTTATGGATGACTTCATGACTATGCTCCGGAGGGACGATGGTCGAGCATGGTATGGGCCTACCGAAGTCGAGCAGGCCGTGGAGAAAGGTGCTGTCGGAGCTGGCGGTGGAGTCCTGCTAATAAACAATTCTCTGTTCCGAAGTCAAGAGATCGCAACTCGAAAACGGTGGGTGACTTTGGTTGACAAGGTCAAGGAAACAGGAGGGGATGCCCGGGTTCTCAGCAGTGATCACGAGAGTGGTAAGAGGCTAGAAGGGCTTGGTGGAATCGCTGCTATTCTGACATTTCCACTAGAGGATCTGGACGATGAAGATGACGAAGGAATAGTATGAATGGTGTTTCTCTTCTCTCTCCCTTTCTCTCTTTCTCTTTTCCTTTCTTGAAATTTATGTGGATACATGTTCAAAACCGTGAGTGCCTCGTATATCTCGATAACAGTATGGGCAATCTGTGGATCTGCAGTTCGCTGGGTCTGATGGGGTGCAATGCGCCTTCCTCCTAGCAGATTGTGATCTGTCATTGTCTACCTACTTCAAACTCGTCTCTCATTCTGATCCCATCGCTTTCGCACGAAAATTTGTCGATTCATCTGTTATATCAGTATCACTATTACCTTCTTCCCACCACTGTGGCACATGAAGCAGCATCCATCTTCTCATTCATCATGCCTTCGGTCGACGATTCCAGACCTGGCCCCGAGCACAGAAAGTTTTCTATCAACTCTAAAGATTTATCATTATCAAAGTCACCCGAAGACGGAACATTGACTCCCAACGATAGCACAGAAGATCCAGATCCGAGACTGGTGGCTTTGTCTCAGCTTCTTCCTGATGGCTCGATCTACCGGACCCCAGAGAGTATTCAAGACGAAGTGGTAAGTGACATCTACCCGAGACAAGAACGTTTAAATCTCTCTGACGCCACACTGCCATCTGCAGACCTCACGATCTTCACACGTCCTCCGAGTCTACTCACAGCTTCAAGGACTCATGGGTGCTTTCCAGAATATTAGCGAGGGTTGGATGAAGAAGAGAGTTGCCCAGAGGAAGGATCTCATGAAGTCTGCATGTACGCGCCCCGAAATTTCGATAACTATAAATGGCGAATATTGACAGGGCAGGGCCTGATATCCCTCAAAGCCACCGTCCCGATCATGAGTTACTCATCAGTAGAAACCCTTCTATGGTAGGTAACCCTCTTAGGATATCTTGTCCTTCTCCTACCCTCCTCCCGAAACTTTTCAAGCGGCACCTAATTATTGACTCCCCCGTCTTCTGCAGGGCCCAATGACAGACAGCAAGGAGATAGCTGCATGTATGTGGCCGCATGTCAATCTGGAAGATCTGTCCCGGGGCAAAACTTTTCTTCAATTCCTGGAATCACGGACTCGTTGTTCGCCATCCTTATTTGCACGCCAGGATCTGAATTCCTGTGCATTAGCCAACTCGCTTAATTGTTTCAAGCGATCGATGTGCTGGGACTGGGTAATGTGCGTACCCTAACGTAACAACCATTCACCTTGGCTGACCTTTTAGATGTCTAAGAGATCCTCCGGAGTACGGGAAACTCATATCGACCGCAGAGGACTCATATGCCTTAGCTCGCGTCATCTCGAGGATTGACTTCTACACATGGGAGGGGTTACAGGTCCTAGAAATACAGGAAAAGATTCTCGAATTCTTGCTGGACTGCTGTGGAGTAGGTAATGGGGAACCCCAGGTTTTCTATTCTCATTATTCTAGGATATTTGGAGACCGTCTTATCCTTTTCCAAGACCCAGATCGACCTGGAGATTGCTGACTGGTGCCCTGTAGCGGATACTCAAAGATCACCGAGTCGCCGAGCTAGCCTCAGAATGGACCACTTTGGACGATCTGAATAGAGAGGCTCCATATTGCCCTCCCAAGCCAACAACATCCGATCTTGGCAAGCTCCATTCACTCATGGCTGCAGAACTGTCAAGAATTGCCGGTATTTTCCCTAATGTCACCATAATCGTCGAAGGTTTTACTGATCGCTCGTGTTGGCCATATACGGGATCTGAGGGCAGATCCAGGCTACTTCCTAGAGACTGTTCGGGATTGCTGTGCAGCCAACCCTGCTTTTTCGACTACATCAAAGGAATGGCCTGACAGGGTTGCAAGTTTTATTGCCTACGATGCATATTGTCCTGCAATAGCAGGACGTATAATCTGGGATCTGCTCCTCGAGCTGGAGCTGCTCAAGGTAATGAATCCTGAGGTGACTGAAACTATCCTTATCAAATACTGGTAAGTAAAACAGGGTGACCCATTCTTCATTTTCGCCTCTTATTCTCAGGATTTCTGTGACATTGAATTTCCTCTTCCCGAGGTGTTCCTTTTATGGCAACCGCTAACTCGCTTGTTAAGTGATGAATCACCGAGCCTCCGCCGCTGGATGGATAGTTTACTGTGCTTTCGCTCAATCCTGGTCCGATACCACACTACCTTTGTGGAAGAAATAGTAATGGCTCTTCACACAGAAGCATCTTTCCGCCGCTACTTTGATAACAACCGCAAAATAACCAGAAATTCAGTATCGGCCATCTGGCAAACCGATAAGCTCTTCGTATTACTTAAGGACATGAGCAAAAAGTTTAATGATGGATACTTTTCCAGAACGCGTCATATCATCCTTGAGATAGAGAGGCTTCTACAGAATAATTTCGGGGAGAAAAAGAGGCTGGTATGTCGTTCCAGTTGTCTTGGTAGCACATGCTAATCTTTTTCCTTAACATAGTCTCCACGCATGCTTCGTGCAATCGGCATCGCGGGTTTATTTGGAAGCCTTATAGAGGAATGTCAGTAAATTCGAGTCACAAGGTCTTCGGGAAATGTTAACTGACCGACTCTATATAGTCGATGCTATTCATCCTTCCGTCGGGACAAAAGCCATTTTGTCTGATCATGAGGATACTGAAGGACGACTAGAGGAAATCATTAAATGGAGACTGTTTCCTTCGATCACATACAAAGAGGTATGCCTGTTTATGGCTTCCAATGTTCATTACACATATCCCAGTCAGCTTTGTGAAAACCACTGATTGTTCTTCGTAGCATGCTTTGAAATACCTCCCTGGATGCTTTGGTGATCCGGATGGTTCTAGCTTCACGTTTTCATATGTCGAAAGGAACTTGGCTACATTCTGGAAAAGGTACGATCAAGCTTATGAAGAATTGGCGGGTAGGTCAATACACACTTACGGTAAGTGCAGAACTTCCACGGAAACCCTTAAGATCCTAAGCGATAGGCTGACATCTGAAATCTGATTCAGAACCCCCAGTGTTTCAGTGCCAAATGAATCCACGAAGCATAACCCCTGTCGCCGAACACGAGCCCCGAGTCGATGATGAACTACTTCAAGCAACTTTGAATCAAAATACCCCAGTTCCCGGGGGCAATGACAACAATACAAACCCTGACATGAGTGGCAGCAGTATCCGGGGAGAAAGATGGTCTGAACAGGATGATGATGAACCGTTACCCTCTACCAACTCTGGTCAGGCCAATCAAAGCGAAAAAGAAGGCAGCAAGAGCGATGATCCACATGACACAGACTTCTTGGGTACCGGGCATACACCAGCCTTTGAATTCACTGAACGGTCTCGTAAAATCTTTAGAAAGATTTTCTCTCCCTACTCCAACCCGCCTTCGAGAATCAGATGGAATGACTTCCTTACAGCAATGGCAGACGCCGGGTTTAGCGTTGTCAAACAGTGCGGCTCAGCATGGCTGTTTATGCCTCTCAATCTGTCACCAGAAAAATGGATAATTCTCCATGAGCCTGCGGCTCTGCAGCAGGACAAGAATAGCTCGGATCTTTCTATTGACTTTAATGCTGCTCAACTTTACGCACGGCGGCTGACATTTGCATATGATTGGGATCAAACAATGTTCCAAAGTTCAGAAACCACAAGCGAGAGCTCCAAGAAGAAAAATAAGCGAAAACCCGCATTAAAGGATGATAAGGAAATGGCAAATGAGAGACCGGAGGAAAAATGCAATGGGACTGGAAGGAACTTGAAGGATAATACGGAGCTTGACGGGAAGATTCCAGCGGAGCAGCATGGAAAGGCATTTTTAGAAAAAGGCGTCAAGGTTGAGACCAAGGAGTTGAAGAGCGAAGCAGAGGATGAAGAAGAGCGTATGATTTAGACAGCTCAAGCGATGCTGGAACTGCCTATCATTCAGTAGTCCAAGTAAATCGAAATTATAGACGTTACAATAGACGAACAGCGTTGTTTGGGTTTCTTGATTGGCCTAGGCGTACAAGTTGCCTCATCACGGTTTCTGCATCTCATAAAAGTACAGGGAATGTATGTACTTGAGGGCAGACGGAAGAGTGTTTACTGTTTTCCGAATTCTATATGGGCCTTCTAAACGATCCCTATATCTAATGATACGATATTCTAAGCAAGGATATTACAGAAGCAAGACCCAAGGCACCAACGAAGGGCAGAATCTGGGTGAGATGGGCGACGGCCTTCGCTTGCTCGCTTAAATTTACGACCCCCAAACACGCGAAGTGACAAGCCCATAAATGCATAATAGCCAAAGTAAAGCATTCCTTTACGCCTGTCACCAAGCCATAATGCCTACAAAATACAGCCAATGTGATCGACGATCCATCAGCTTATACGGCATTCGCCCGCCCGGCCGGTACGTCCTGCCAAAAGTGGGATTTCGTCGTCGGTCACCTCGCTTTCTCGACCCACCCCTAAATCAGGTAGACAAATGCTTCTTCCCTATCAATTATTTAACCTTTAGTACCCTAATCGATTGATATTTATACATCTTGATTTAGGTTTCAAAGAACTTTTTCTGCAAGACATCCTCAGCATGCCGCTCAGCAGCGATGGTTTCGAGCGACCTGAGACCATCGAGCTCTCTGGTTCACCCAGAGAGGTGCCCCAATCAATCCCAACTGTCAGACGCAATCTGATACAGAACAGATCGGGCTCAAACATGGCCGTTTCCTAGCGCCCAAGATCCGCAGCCAAATTCAAGTCTACACGGCCATGTTCCGGCAGACCTCTCACCTGTCGTGGCCAGACGTCCGCATCATAGCGGAGGCGTACAGCGAAACGATCCGGAAATTGACCCCAGATCTTCACGTTGAGATGGCTGGCATTGCTGACGGCGCGGATCTCGAACTCCTCGATATCGTGGCTCTGAACTGCAGAAGTGAGATTGCGCTTGGCTTGTTTTCGGATGGGTGTACGAGTCTGGGGTGGAAGAGACAGAGTGGTGAGGTGCTGCTGGCCCAGAACTGGGATTGGACGGAGAGGGTGAAGGAGAACCTAGTGATGATGTCCATTGAACAGCCCAAGAAGCCGAAAATCTACATGGTCACCGAGGTACCTCCAGAAAGCTTTCAGTGTTGGTATCTGGCAGCTGAACCTGTGTACTAAACGAAACTTACAGGCAGGCATCATTGGCAAAATCGGCTTCAACACCTCGTCCGTAGGCACGAACCTCAATGCCATCCGCGCCCGCCCAACAGATCCATCCAAGCTCCCCATCCACGTCGCCCTACGTGTCTGTCTCGAATCTTCTAGCACGGCGTCCGCAATTTCCACCTTGGAGTCACTCGGGGGCATCGCATCCTCAGCGCATATCCTGCTCGCCGACGCCTCTGGGCCCATCTCCCTAGAGCTCTCGCCTCAAGGAAACACGTATATCGAGCCCAGTATCCGCGGCATTATCTGCCACACGAATCACTTCATTCAGAACCGGTTCGTGCAGGAGCCTGAATGGTTGAGCGGGAGCCCTATCCGGTTAGCAAGATGCCAGCAGCTGACGACAGAATTGGATGAGAGTGGTATCAAGGTTGACGCGGAGGTATTGCGAGAGAGAGTGTTCTCGGATGGGTTTAATAAGCCAGAGGCTATTTGCTGCGAGGAGGATCCGAAGCGGGCGGTTGAGACGAGGAGCAGCACGCTTTTCAATATTGTCATGAAGTTCCAGACCGGGGTGGACGCTAGCGGTGAAGTCGTCTGGGGGAGGCCAGGGAGTGGTGAAGAGGGAGGTGTATTGAGGATGCCTTGGTGAGCGATTACATCTGGACCCTTGGGAGATCTGGTGGCAGCTGCACACATGAAGGTCTGATTGAAAAGTTCGCTGCACTGCAAGTATAACCAAGCAGTCTTATCTGACTTCGGTAGTCGCAGTCATATGGAGGACTTCGCTACTTTGTTTTAAAATCGAGAAGTGAGTCAGCTTGGTGTACGCAATGCCGCATCACACCCAGCTCTCATCCCCCCCCAAAAATTAAGCAAAAAAGAAATTTATCATATAGAGGGCGGGACTTCTTGATTGAGATTAAGATACAAAGCATGGGAGTGCCACGCTCCTGACTCAAGGCCTATTCGAGGGAACCCGCCGTATGATCCCGAGTGGGATAGAAGGTATCACAGCAGCTTCAGATTTCTCTCCCGTCAAGTGCCCAGTCCCACGATCAACGGCATTTACGGGCCGCAGTAGTTTGGTCCCTCACCGCAGTAGCCCCATTTCGAGCAGCAATATCCTGCAGTCTTGCAAGGTCTATCGGCTGCGCAAGAGCCCTCGGGGAAAGTGTTGGACGGTGGTTGCGCCGGGGCGGGTTGTACGCCGGCTATAATACGTCAGAAATCCGCCATCGAGGCACGGTATGTATGCACGGAGAGGAACCTACCGGTGCAGTATTGGGGTCCGGTGCCACAGTATCCGTATGGTGAGCAGCAGAGGCCTGCAGCACACTGGCCATTGACACAGCTGCCCTCATCGCGTGCAACCAGTCCCGGCGCAGCGCCAAAGGGAGAGGCGAACGACCCCATGAACAGGGAGGAGGATGCCACAAGGGCGGCGAGGTTGTAGAATCTCATGATGATAGCGAAAGTAGGAGGTGAGTGAATATATATTACTGTATGCAATACTCTGTTATTGGAAGCTGAAGAGGATGAGTTGGATGAGATGGGGAGGCTTTCCCTCTTTACTTTATACTCACCCAAGTGAGCAGCAACAGTACCGGTACCTATGCTTCTACGGAGAACCAATTCCTGCGTATAGTAATAGCCTTCGATAGGCTTGGTGCGTAACTCTAATTACGACACTCCCCCGTGTTTACATGTCGGACCCGGTTTAGGCCCATAAATCATAGAGCGGTGGCTTCTGAATGGCTCCAAGCCCTGCCAACTCAATTGGACATGCTAAATACCGACCTCGAGACCCTTTTCAAGGCTGAATTATTCTCAGTTGATTGGTTCAACTCCTGGTAGGATTCCCTGCCAAATTACACTTTCGACATGTATTCATGTGGGGGGGCAGAGTATATCTTGATATGCTTTAGCGGAGACTGCTTGGATGCGAATGCGCTCGAAAGTCTATGTCCGAGAATATCTATATTTGGATCTTCTTTTCTCCTTTCCCGACTGTCTCGTACTGGAGCAGCTTGTTGTTCAGTCTCTTCTCCAGTTCAAAAAAACGTCTGATGATATCTGTATCTTCCAAGATCCCATGGGAGAATGTTGACTTCAGACTCGCTAAGACTCTCTAAGACTCTCTTACAGCTAGACAAGTAGGTGGGTACCCAGGCCAAGACTCTTAGCATAGACGACGACCAGAGGGCCCACGGCTTTGCCGGATATTACAGCTACGTAGTAGGTACAAGTATAGCACTACGTGATTATAGTAGTACAACCAGGTACCGGTAGTTGCACGGAGCCACTGTACAGACTATACGAGTTTCTGATGAATGCTTCTGCAGGGGTGCAAACAGCATTTCCGGATTTCACAGCCCTCGATAAATATATTTAACTTTGAACTTCCCGTATGGCTAGGTACTATATTACAGTACAGCACGTACGTACGTAGTACTATGATTGATACAAAGTCTTTTTCTTCGAGAAACTAACGACCCCACGTACGGAGCAAGTCATGCCAGGCTACACAGCTGGACCGGTACGGTAGTACAACCAGCAGCGAACACGAAAACCTTCTACTTCGTAACATCGGCAGCATTCTGAGGCTGTGAAGCATCCGATGATCGAGGTACCGGTACTACAACCGGTACTTGAGGCTTTCTACAACTGCCTTATTTCAATTTTCAAAGCGCATTGTTCTGCTATCTAGTAATCTAGTACATGGCATGTTATCCCGCAGGTCTAGATGGATGTCCAGTCGGTTGTAATGATGAATCTCTCTGGAAGTGTAAGATCACTTCAATAAAGCCACACGTGCCAAGTTCGGCCGAGGATGAGACAAACTTGTCTTGACTAAGGTACCTATGCAACATGTATTCTGCTGAGTCATGCATGTCCAGCTGGAAGGTCTCCCGCAGACTCAACGTCAACAAACCCCCTTTTTCAGGCAAAGGCAACGCTATCGATGCATTCCAGGCCAGCGGATCATGATACGTACAGGATAGGATGAGCCACTGGCTGGGAGTCTGGTACGTGGGTATTGCCTCATGTAACAAGAGCCCAGGACCGAGATTGGGAACTTCATGCCTGCGAACCAGACCAAGACGGTGGGAAACGACGATCGGGAATTCTGGGCAATGGCAGCCATCTTGGCGGCAGAGACGAACTTCCAGAATCCCCCGAAAGACCAACAACCACAGTGGCTTGCACTTGCACAGGCAGTGTTTGACGAAATGGCTGGGAGGTGGGACACGACGAGGTGTGGTGGAGGGCTGAGGTGGCTGATTTTCCCGCTCAACAAAGGCTTCACTTGTGAGAACAGCATTGCGAACGGCCGCTTCTTCACTTTGGGCGTTCGGTTAGCGAGATACTACATGTGGAACGAGACTTATTCTGACTGGGCATCCAGAGTCTGGGACTGGGAAGCTTCCGTCGGTCTGATCCATAAGGATTACAATGTCTTTCTTGATGGATCATCGGACGTCAAGAATTGTACTACGTTAGATAGGCAACAGTGGTCCTGTAACGCAGGTATCTTCCTGCATGGGGCTGCTAACCTGTACAACTTTGTAGGCCCGCTCTTATATCTTCTAGTCCTCCAGGCTCCTCTCTTCCAGCGGGAGAAAGAAACAACCCCAAAGTTGACTACCGGTATTCAATTAGACCCAAGGATCCTTTATCTGGAAAGATCGCGTTTCTGGAATTCTCAAAACCTCCCGCAACATCTTCTTTGATGACACCGTGATGCTAGAGCAGGCCTGCGAAGGCAGCAACAGCTGCAACATCGACCAGTCCTCTTTCAAAGCCCTTTTCTCTTCCTGGTCAGTCGACCCTCGCCTTGTATTCTCGGCGCCCTGGGATGACCGGGGGTTGTGTCTCAGGATTAGTGATCCCAAGTGATACTACCAGATGATATAGTCCGGTCCCGGAAGGTTGGACACAAGAAGCCGGGGTGTTATATTTGCAGAGCCAAGCTCGCCGGCACCAGCATCCTCGCCCCCTTCACCTCCCTACCATCACGCCCCTCCTCGCCACATCCGCCAAATCGGCCGGTCTCCAATGCACGGGCGGCGACAACGGCACCACGTGCGGGACCAGCTGGACGACCGGGACGTACGACGGCACGGCGGGCGTGGGACAGGAGATGAGTGCGCTCGGCGCGATCCAGAGCTCGGTGGTGGCGATCCCGAGAGGAGCCGCCGCGACGGGTCCTGAGGATCCTGGAAACGGCGGCGGTTCTGGCACAGGCGACGACAGTCCCAGCTTCGCACCGGTGACGAACAGCACGGGTGGATCGAGCGTCGGAGATGCCTCGGCGGGAGCCCACGGGCATGGAGGCGGAACGGAGAAGGAAATCAAGATCACGACGAAGGACAGGGTCGCTGCGGGCTTCGTGACGGTTGCGAACGCTGGAGATTTGATTGGGGGCGGTCTGTTTATGGTGTCCGAGAGCTGATCAGGAGCCGAGCCAAGTGTTACGCAGTGGTATACCCAGGGGGTTTTTTATATTCTTCCTTTTGTTCTTCTTCTCTTCTCCTTTCTCTTTGTTTCTTTCTGACGGCTTCGTTTTCGTCAGCTTTTTTTGGGGGAGGGGAGGAGTATTAGCCATAGCGTCAAGTGGAACTGGCGTCCGAAGCAACGTTTTACATGGACGTTTACGTGGCTGTTGATTCATCAGATTGATATCCGAAAGATGTAAGGTGGCGTTTGATTCGACGCCGAACTGAAGGTTTTCACGAAACCGAATCACCTGCATCAATTTTCCGAAATGATGGTTCTCGCAATGTTGGTATTCATGGAAACCTCGTAAAATCGGTAGCTGTTTGGTCCACTTTTGGCTCGAGGTTTTGTAAGCTGGCGGGTGAGAGGGGGAAGAAAGAAGTTTGCGTTTCGGATCGGGGTTTACTTAGCATTTTACTCCGATCATACGAACCTACTACCTAGAGAAATCATATAGGTACTACTACGAAGTATTAGTAGTACTTTTCGAAGTTCAGACTTGTATTAAGATTAGTAATAGATTAGCTATTTTTAGAGAAAAGAAACTTGCTACGTATGTACTACGTCAATAGGGCCGATTGTTCCCTATGCTTCACAAATTGTGGAGTTGTTTTTCGCATGCTTCAACCTACTAGTATTTGAGTGGGCCCGCTTAGCCTAATCCACCTGCTGCTTTATGCAAGAAATTTTTCAGTGATGCCACTAACGTACTATTTTTTCTTTCTTTTGAAGTTCCCGATTATTATTTGAAAGCTATTCATACATGCAATCTGAGAGGAAAAAATAGAAACAAGCTGATACGATATTATAATATCTATCGTCTCGCGCGATTGTATATCAAACACTTTTTATTCTTGCGAGTATGTCTAATTCTACCACAAGCATTACAAGAATATAGCTCTGCCGGCTTCTATGGCATAGGTATCCTTTATCTCTATCCTTTTTCAAGGGGGGTTTGCTTTTAATTTAAATTTTCAGCCTAGAAAGAGGTGCGGTTTAAGTATCATCCATCTACTACGTATCTAGTCTAAAATACGTAGTAATACCGTCGATCTTAATTCTCCGCATATGATTGTTGATAGCAATTAACCCATCTCCTTCTCTCATCTCTTCTCTTAAAGGGTTTCCCAAAACCTCACGTCAGAGGTTATTTGGAAACCTTTTCTCGGGTTCGAAACAAACAGTACGGAGTATTTCACCGAGAAACCCTTGGTAGAAAAAAAAAGAAATACAAAAAATAGGGGGTTTCACAAAACCTGCGTCGGATCAAACGAGCCTTAAATCTGATGCCAAGAGGGGCTTGATTGCGAACTACCGGTACCGAGCTACTTCACCCATTCGCCAAGATTTTGTAGGATAGTACTACTACCTAATCAGTACTTAGTAATACTTAGTACCGGTACTTGTTGGCGTCGGGCGGGTATCCAAAACGCTATGCTTGGACCTTACGTAGGATCTCCTACTCGGCTTTTTTTTCCAGAAGGCTGAGCTACGGGGAGAGAAGTGGAGTCGTCTATCTTGGCGGTAATTTCTCTATCTACCGGTATTGTTATAAGTACGGTAAGATACTACGTATCAGCTCTCCTGTTGTTTGGTTTCTTCTCCCTGTCCAAACTGACACCCCTTCTTCCGTGGCTCAGACTTCTGGAAAGACTGAGTGGAGGGTAGGGCGACGTGCTACTTATTACTGCTGTAACAACCGTTGCAAAATTACACTTTCGACAGTCATTTGGAGGGGAGGGATCATAGTAGTACCGGTACCGGTAGTAGTACTTAGTAGTAGTAGTACGTACTACTAGTACTATCCCCCATGAATAAATGTCAGACCCAGTTTAGGCCCATAAATCGTAGAGCAGAGGTTTCTTAATGGCTCAGAGCCCTATCGACTCCACTGTATAGACTAAATCCTGGCTCAACGATACTTTTCAAGGCTGAATCCTTCTTATACTACGTAAGTTGATTGGTTCAAGCCCTGGTAAGATCCCTTGCGAAATTATACTTTCGACATTTATTCTCGGGGGGGATAGTACCGTGTTTTCAATTAATCGGATTTAAGACTTTTCTTCTTATCTCTCGCACCCGTATCGCAGATCCTCCTGGTCTTGTCTTTGCAGTCGGTATGCCCGTCAGTGGTTAGCTAGCTAGCCGAAGGTTTCGTAGGAAGGCACCTCGTATAGGTAGAGAATACGGTACCGTAGCCTTGAAATCAATCTACTACGTACTACCATTGTATGCTGACTGACGCCCTGTACACGGGTACAAGATATGATCTTTTTTACATTAGCTATCATGCAAGAACAGTATCTCTCGTAAGATCGTCGGGAGCCGAGATGATGCCAGATGGGTATTCTGATGGGTAGGTACCGGTAGTGTGTGCGCATGCGCTAGCTATGAATAATGTACGTAGTAAAACATTCTAATGAATTCGAGCTAACCGCGGTATTGAGTCTGACGTCGGCGTATAATATCGGCGTGTATTCGGTAAGGATTTTTTGTTATAGTTCTCTTCAAGTTCTAGCACTGATTGACTTCTGGTGTACGCTCGAGTGCCAGCATATACGTAGTAGTACTTGGCTACTACCAAACGATGTTTTGCCATGTCACAGAGAGGTATTGATCAACAAGCTGAAGGGGTTTCCACAAATGCGAGTAGAAAATCCAAAATTGTGTCTAAGTGCGGGTGGATTCGATACTACAAAGTTTTGAAATGCTGGTAGGTGAGGCGCGTACAAGCCACAGCCTTGGCAATTCCTTGTCGTGAGAGTGCTCATCAACCCATCTCCAGCAGCCCATTTCTCATACCCCATGCCCCATCAATTACCGAGAAGTACTACCCCTTCGCAACATACCCAAGATACCCATGAAAACCTAAAGACATCGCGCCCACAATACCGACAGCCCTTGAGACCTGTTCGCACGGGGAGCGTTGACAAGCATGGTCGGCGTAGTGGAAGCTACACTTAGGAGGGACGGCGGCCTGGGAGTGGCCCAAGGCCGGTGGCCTTGGGCCAGTTGGTGAAGGCTGGCACAGAGCTAGTCGGGGTAGGCTGTGGTTTAGTCCCCCAGTTGCAAGCTTTCTTGATTTGGGTGATATCTAGAGATCGGGTCAGTCTTTGCAGGGAGGGGATGGCGATAGTTGGAATAAAGCGTACCGTGCTCCTTAGCTTCCTGCCACAATGGCTCGACGCATTTTGAGCAGGATTCAGTGAACTCCTGGGCATCTGGCGCGTTGCATATACAGCTGACCTCGTTCTTATTGCCAATGTGGGTAAATCTGCATGTTCTACCGATCCTTTTGATGCTGATAGATGTTAGTGTGAAGGCCAAACTATATATTGATGCTTTACTAACCTGGCGCAACGGACTTTGCACTCTCCAGGGATGTCATCGATATCCGAAAGGCCTGCAAAGGCAAAGCCCGAAAGCACGGCAGCGGCAATTAGAGAGATCTTGATGAGTTGCATAATGGCAGATTAAGACTTAATAAGTGCGAGGTGGGATGTAGTTATGAGAGAGGTTAGCGAAAGTGAAAAACGAGTGTGATGTTGATAAACGAATGTGATGTTGAAAAACGAGTGTGATGAGCAAGTGTGATGTGAGAGGGTGAAGAACGTGCAGTGTGGGTGAGATGATGCCCTTATATAACAAATGGACACACTCAATCGTTCTATATGTGACAACCTACGCTTGCAAGAAGGCGTGCATGACAGACAGAAATAGCTCGCGGAGCCACCGGATATGAAAATCACGAACCCGGGGTCGGGGGTCGAGGGTTGACATGAAGGATCAGGATCAGGATCCAGAAATGAGGCTGCGATGGCCATGGCAGAGGTACTAGGTAGGTACAGTAACAGTCATGAAGGTCGGCAAGTTTGATAATCGCCACGAGGCGAACGAATGTTGAGAATAGATGGAATACGGGCTATTCCGCCGGCCGCCAAGAGCGTGGCAATCCTATTTCCAAGTTGACCGAAATTTGACCAAAGCTATATTTAACGCGGAACTTGTCTCATCTTAGAGGAAATGAAATATGCCAATAATACTACTATATACATTTGGTTTTCTAACTGATCAGTGCGTTCGTTGACTGCGCACAGAGGAAATTGACCCAAGTATAGTTCGTATTACTTCCGTAGTCGTAGTAGTACGTAGTACTTTGTAGTACCTAGGTCGATATCAGTAAATTGATGATAGTGGATCTCTAGACAGGGGTTAGAAGGACCGTGAAAAGAAAGAAAGTAAGAGATGTGTGGAAAAGCTGGTGGGCAGGCAGCCCTCGATCCCCGAAATGGCCCTTGGTAAGCTTCAAACCCGCAGAAGAATCTACTACGTAGGTACTACGTACAATTAGACCAAATGATTGCATAAAAGTAAATGGATCATGTGACCATGGCTGATGGAAGGATCACCCCAAGCACTATAGTAAGAAAGGTCAAAAAGATTAAAATCGCTAGACAGAGGTAATAGTCAGTCACTGACTATTACGCTATCTAGCCTTGTGTATGGAAGCATAACAAGAATCGAAATGTCGTCTAAGATTGTCCCAGGTGTTTCCGGCGGAACTCCCGGCTGAAGCGAAAGTTCTGACTGCATTGAACGAAATTAAAAGAGATCCGAGTCCTAAAGGCTATATATACTACATATGTACATTGTACTTGGTTTGCCAGAGCTAACCAAGAGAAAACACGTCAACTGCTTTCGACCGAACCTACCATAGATACCTGGCCGTACGAATCCACGATTTTCACCTCGGTGACTTTGCCAACCTCATCTTCCATGATAACCCGGTAGCTTTCGCCTGCATATATCGGACTCGTCGCCCGGTAGGTAATCTTCTTCGGCGTCGCATCCCCCTCTCGAACATCGCGCCAGAAATTCAAGAGGTTTATCAAGTTCAGAGGGCCATGAACCACCAGATCACGGTGTCCTTCGAATCCCTGACACCACTCCTTCGAATAATGTATCTTGTGGGCATTGAAGGTCAAGGCCGAGAACCTAAACAGCGTGACCGGTGTCTGACAGAAATCCCGAACGTACTTGCCTTCTGGAAATGCCACTGGTTTTGGCTTCGCAGTGGGTGTGAGGGGAGCCTGGATCTCTGGCCGGAATATCCAGTTCCTGGTGAGGTTCTCGTCAGTATCAAAATACTTGACCACAAACACCCTGCATTCTTCATCTGATGATGTGTCGCCAAAACTCCAACTTAACACTGAAGACGCCTTGAAGACCCCTACCTCTTGTCGATCAACGCGAGACCATGATCATTCTGGAACTTCTTTTCCACGCCCACAACTATCATCTGCTCCCCCGTGCTGTTTCTTTTCCCTTTCGCAGAAACCAATCTCGTAATCTCCGTAACCTCTTGTCCGAGGCGCAACTTGTTGGCTCGCCCAACCCATTCTATCTCTCCACCAGCCCACATCCGTCGCGTGAAGGGACTGGGCGGGGTGAACGTTGTATCCGTCCCATCGCGCCCCAAATCCCGTTCTACTTGTGATGGCGTGAAGTATGCCAGGTGGTAGCCGGGTGGGAGGGGAGTTCCATTCTTTGGCAGATGCTTTGCGAGCTCAGGACGCGAGAGGGTCGCGGAAAGTCGTTGGAGCTGGTTGGCGTCGAGGACCTGGGTCTGTGTATACGGATCGGAGTATTGAGATTTCGCGAGAAAGTCGGAGGCCACTGTATCTGCGCTTGTGATGCTGTAACGACGACGGAGAGTATGTTGTGAGAACAAATATTGCGTAGGGATGGAGCTCGAGCTCGGACAGAGGCGGCGGCAAGCTGGAGACATGGTGAAGCTTCGCATCGCTTACTGCCAGTCAGGATCGATAGCATTGTATTTGATCGATGGAGGTCTCGTTCTCATCTTCCTTGGTACTTACTTATCTACACTCCTTTTCATGTTCTGGCCTGACCTCATTAACGTTATTGATGTTTAGAAGATGCCGATACACCATTATCGAATATCACCGCGGCTGACCCGAGTAGGTAGGTTAGTCCTCGGTAGTTGGCACCTGACTTAAGCGACCCACACCCGGCCGCGAGTGCTATTGATTCAATAGGTACGACGAGGCCGGTAAGAGGATGAAACGGCTCAGCTTCAGAACGAAGACATCGAACATTATGCAGGGCGGTAGGAGCAGCCGTTGATAACCCGGAAACCGTCTAGACCATGGACAAAGTTCGGACGATAACGTTTGGAAAATATGTGTATTTTTTGTTAGGCAAAACAAGCCGCAGCCACTTATTGTGCACCGCCAGATATATGTATGCAACGACCATCACACCAGGAACAGAAGCGGGCGCTGGTAAAAGTAATTCATCTATTTTCCATGAAGCTCGCCCGCCTCCTAACCCTCGACTCCAACTGCACTAGCACAAATGGAAAAGAAAAGAAAAATTCATATCTCTTAACGACATACTGTAATCTAGGATATTCACAACATCCTTATTCGTATCTTTGGATCATATCGCCCATAACAAAGTCTCGAGTATCTCTTTGCTCCTCCATGCGCTTGATGAGTTCTCTCTCTTTTGGGCTGCGTGGGCTGGCATCCTGTGAAATTGTCAGCGAGATAAATGTCAATACTGGCTGATGTGAACTTACTATACCCAAGAGAGCGGAGATGCTGGTAGCACTATTCTTCGTCTCTCGAAGTGGTGTCGGAAAATGGTACAATGGCTTTGGAGAGAATGCCCGGTATGCATTACTGCGAGCAGTCTGAATTTTCGGGGAGCTACACGGGGTTGGCGGACCAGTGGTAGTAATTCCTCGTTTCCAGACCTCCTCAAGCAAGATAGGAGACGCTCCTGCACCGTACTCGGAAGCAATGGCGGACCAGAACGAAGCTCTGTGCGCCTCGTAGACTTGTCGAAGACGGTCCTGATCGACGTTCGAGAAGTTGACTTGGCCCGAGGCCTCATTGCATTCGAGGCGGGTAGGCGAGTGGATGACCGGGTCGGAAAGAGCACGGCGGACCGGAGAAGGCTTCGGAAGGATGGCCACAGGGTAATTAAGAGCTCTGGGGGGAGGACTGTAGGAGCCGGCCGGATTGAGGAGAGTTGCTGCGGAAGGAAGCTGAATTTGTGCGGGCGATTGGGGTGAGTAGCTGTAGGACGAAGGAGTAGCGGGTTGCATACCCTCACTGATGGGAGATGGCATCGAGTGAGACATGACTGGAGATTGCAACGCGGATCCAGTAGCGGAACCAGCAACGGAACCAGTGCTGGAAAGGGTGTCGGAATCAGTTCGCTTACGGCGGTTGCCGCCGTGAGACAACTGGTGGTAGTGAAGACGGCAAGCCAACTCGGTCTTCTTCAAGTGAGCGGCAATGTGCTTGTACGGCTTCTTTTGGAGACGACTCTGAAGAAGATAAGCCTCCTGCGGTCGACCTGTTAGCTAGTCCTTCCCACTGCAGTCCAAAGCAAGTATTCGTACCTCGTTCTCACTCCAAGCTCTGCCACCACCAGTAGATGCCTGCTTCTTGTTCTTCTGGACACCGCAGTCGTGTCGGTTCGTGGCACCCATAGCGGAGTAATTAGAAGGAGCCACATAGGCGGAGGTGTTCATCTGTGGGGAAGACATGACAATCGTTTATCGTTAAGTGAAATTTGAAGGGTATAGATGGATAGGAAGATGTATGAGACTCGTTGATCCAGCAAGCGTCAAGAATTGAAATGTTGTAAATAGGCAGAACCGAGCTGCTGAAGAAATGAAATTCTGTTTGTCGAAGATAGCGTTTGGATTTTGAAAAAAGGGTATGGATGTGAAGTGAACGGAATGAAGTTCAAAGCGCTATAAACTACAACTAAGGAATGTAAGCAGCCAAGCCAGTTGGGTGGTGAAAGAGAGTGTATTAGCTGCGGAGTACGTAGTCAGAGGTCACGTCGAGTGTAAGAGAAAAAGAAAAGAAAAAAGAATGAAGATAACGGCCAAGGTGATCGATCATATATAGAAAGAAGCATTGGATCAGCTGTAGTATCCGGCCCCGGTAGCAGCCAAAGGCCGTGCATACTCTCCGCTGAATAAGTTTGCCGGGGTGAAGGGGTGGCCGATGTTGTTGACGGTTTCTGATTATCCATGGCTTGATTTCACGTCTCCATTAAGATACCCTCTTTTCGTCCCGTTCCTCTTCATACTGTGGTGTTTCTTGGTGGCCGGGGTGATTGTTTTGACAGGCGGGCTGTCGTTCTAAACTGTTACGACTTGTGTTGATGTCTTCAATGCAAGACCTTGAAGCATCAGGAGCGCTCCTTCATTGGACTTTCGTCGACATTACCGCCGGATCATGGCCAACGGGGGAAGTTTGTTCGACCATCCGTTTGGGGAAAACGCTACACATTGGCCACCATGATAGCGGCAGTATAACGCCTTCGCAGAGTTTTCAACACGACAGATTTCGAGAAATTCAAGTGCCGTGAATAAGTGCAGGCTTCTGTGGGCAGAGGCGGCCACCGTGCCTGTCCAGACGAAACCTTTCCTCACTTTTCCTGTTTGTAGTGCGCCCAAGATACTGGGGGCGAAGAAGCTTGAAAGCTTGACTGCAAGAGCCTTGTCCGGATGGTCATGGAGATCAAACCTGGAAGCGCCATTGGACGTTCAACAAACCTCTGTCCACCTCTGCACGATTGACAGCGTGGTTAAGATGCTGCTGCGGCGTCTCACAAGAGCGGGCGCTTGACTGGGCGGCGGCGCCTCCTGTAGACTGGGACTTGGGGAGAGCTCGTGACTAGCCGAAGAACACATCCGTTTCGTACTTGGGACCGATTCGAAGCACAGAGGAAACATTGCCAGCGAATGTAATGGGGGCATGGAACAAGCACAGGGAAAAGACCCGCCAGCCTCGTCGTTGGCCCGGCGCCGAGACACCCCCAACACTGAAGAAGGAAGCTTGGTCTTCCGTATGGCAGTTTCGTAGTGCCTGAATAAAAGCGCGAGAAGGCATGGATAGGTGGCATGAATGGCATAGCGTGGCATGACCAACATCAATCATGTTGAGTTCCCCCGGGGAACGGTGGTGATGGGAGGTGGTGATAGTGGTAGTGGTGGTGGTGGTGGTGGTAATGGTGATGGGAGGTGGTGATGGTAGTAGTGGTGGTGATGGGATGGGTGATGGAAGTACCTGGACCGGAGAGCTTGGGCTTTGAGGGCTTTGGAGACTTTGGGGGGGCTTTGGGGTGGGAACGAAGCGCTAGATAGCGATTGGCTGGTCATGTGCTTCGTCTCTGGGAATCTCATTGTGATCTGCCATCCGATATCCATCTCGCCACTCATTCTTCTCCTTCTTCTCCTCCTTCTCCTTCGTCTCCTTTCTCCTCCTCCTCCTCCTCCTCCTCCTCCTCCTCCTCCTCCTCCTCCTCCTCCTCCTCCTCCTCCTTCTCGTCCTCAAGTCGTATTTTGCCCGTCCGTCTTCAAACGTCCCATGTTCGGGACTTGTCTCGACCGAACGCCACCAAGGACTGGGGACTGGGGACTGGGGACTCGGAGACGATGTAAAGAAACATGGCATTAACCTCGACTCGGGGCCGATGTCAGAGAGTACGCATACAGAGCACGGTCGGTATCGACAAGTGTCGATTGATGCGGTTGGAAGGACAGCATGAGATGTGTACGGCCGCCTGCCTTTAATCCGCATCGCGAGCAATGTTGCGTCGGTATGGGTGGACGTTGCTTCTGTTTCTTCGTTTGTTTGCCTAGTGGACCTGGTCTTTGTCCTCCGCTGGCCTTTTTTCGTCCGTCATCAGGAAAAAGAAGATTAAGCATCGGCAGGAGAAGCTTCTATTGTCCAAGCTTACAACCGCCTCTCGGAGTCTCGGATTCTCGACCGGATCAGGACGATTCTCGCCCTGTCGGGCTGAGCGACCGGGCTTCACCTTCACCTTCACCTTCACTTTCACTTTCACTTGCACTTCACGGACCCAAGGCAAGAGTGGCTCGATCCTGGGCCGGCCGTGACAGCTGGCTGCTCACTCGTCGAACATCTCTACGCAAAGATGTGGCTATACATACATAGGTAAGGGGAAAATACCAAACTCGTCATCGGCCAAGTTTCCTACTTCGTATTTACCTCGATTTGTATACTTATCCGTACATACATACATACATACATACAACTACATACACATACACGATCGGTCAACACGAAAGGGCCGGGGAGTACTCTCGGCACGCACATCTCGGCCCGCCTGCTTTGAAAAATCAGACCATCCATAGGTAGGTACTCTTGCAATTCCGTCAACTCGGATCTTTTCTCATTTTGTTTCTCGCTTGCCGGATCTGATATTTGGACATTTTCCTGTTGGATTACCGGATCACAAATACGATCCCTGCAGCATAAGGTCAAGGCGATGCCATGTCGGTCGGTGATCCCGACAAGCTGCTGCATGCAAGGCATGGATACCTACGGAGGACTTCACCTCCCGGATTTCCCCACCATCTCTCATACTGGCGCGCCGTTTGTGCAAAGGGGTCGGGTTGCAATTGGCAGCAGACGGGACAGAATCAATTTATCGATAAATAATGTTGGTCGTATGTTGCAGAGGAAGTACTACTATTGTCCAAATCGGTGGTTTGGCAATGTAGTAGGTATCAGCGCCTCTCTCGAATTCCACTTTCAAGTTCCAGCTGCCCCGAATGAAGCTGGAAGCCCATGTACACTCCACTATACAGAGTACGGAGGAGTATCTCGAGGTTCCTGTCACCCTTGAATGAAGGTGCCGAGACCTAACCTTGGTTCAACGGATGAAGGCGAGTCGCGGCTAGATCTATCTCCATCTCCATCTTCATCTCTCTCCTTAAAACTCAGCTCGAAGAGAGGCGAAGAGAGGCGAAGAGAGACAATTGCTATGAAAGTAGGTAAAGTAGATAGAAGTGAAAGCTGAAGCGTGTCTCTACCATTACCCCGCGATCCGATAGATTTCCTGGGGACTGCCAACTACCGACGATCACCATCATCCGGAGACATTAGGACTTGCTCCCAATCACGGATTCAAGGGTGTCGACGACATGCCTGCGATGCAAGATACTCGAGGGGAATCCATTGACCGGTAGGCGGTGCGATATCACATACTCGAGTCGGCTTCCTGTACGACGACGACGACGACGACGACAATGACTGCCACTCGCGGCCACATGCTTTCAAACGTAAAAGGACGGGACAGACAAGACAGGAATTCGCTTAACTCACATCAGTGCAGAAGCATCCCAGCAGCACTCCGGCGGCGAGGAGTCGAGTCGAGTCGCGTCTCCGACCGAATAGGTGGTGTCCGCTGTGCTCACAAACTACCTTCCGTTACAGTTACCTCGTAGTATCTGCCTCGTGTGTGGTGGAAGATACCAACCTCGTACATGGTTTTTCAGCTGCATGAAAAAATTGTCCGGTGACCGTGGCTCTACTTCTCGACCTTACCCTGGAGGTGATTTCTCTCGAGCATCTTCGTCTTACTCGAACCCTTTTTCCGGACTTTGGCTCCCGACCACCACTACGACCTCCTTCTCCTCCATCCCTGGCCCTCTCAGTTGCACAAGCACAAACCTACGGAGAAGACAGGAACATAGACTGAACTGCACTGAACCAGCTGTTGACACCTTGGTTGGGACTGGCGATCCTCGCAGCTGATGAACCAACAGATGGCACCCACACCCAGCCAATCTTGTATACCCATGACTGCCCTTCCCTCTTCCAAACCCTCTGCATGTACGGACTGATGCTGTACTCTAATGTGGCGGCCTCTAAACCATCAGATCACCACTACGAATCAGATCCTTCCGTCCGCTTCTCCCTCTACTCGTATGGTCCGTCACGCTTACGTCTCACTTCCGGCTCTTTTCAGGCTCGGTCGACTACCTCGGGGGGGATTGAGAGGAAAGGAGCCTTGTCAACTACATCTGCCCACTCTCAAGTACCTGAGGCCGTACGTATCTTGGTACCTGTCAAGTGGCGCCCATCACTTAACGCACACGCGACCTTGCCGTCTGAGACTTTGCCGCGCAACAACTGGATGTTCCCCTTGCCATCCCAAGTCATTTCAATACATTGTCAGAACACGGCACATTCGCTTCCTACTTCGTCCCCAATGTTGAAACGTACAGACCGGAGCGAGCTTGACACGGCAACGAGAGCATCGCCTTCGCAACCTCGATCGAGCGCCCCTGATGCTGGAAAGACAGAGACTTCGCCGCCAACGCGGAAGAGGCGCGCATCAGGAACTGGGCAAGCAGCATCGTCACTCTCAATGTCGGGCCCGTCTAGCTCAGCAGCGTCAGCGGCAATGGCTGCGGATGAGCCAAGCATGACTGACTTGTCCATGGGTCCACCGCCGGCCAAGAAGAGTAGGACGAATACTCCGTGGACTCCTGCGGAGGAGCAGAGGCTGAAGACCATGCGGGATGCTGGGAACAGTTGGGCCGAGATCGCGAAACTGTTTCCGATGAGGTCAGTGTAGCTCCCCTTTGCTCTGTTGATTTCATCGCAAAATCAGTGACGCGTTGTACAGACGGCCGGCTCCCGGAACCTACGTGGAGAGCGCACGCTGATCTACGGAGTAGGACCGAAGGATCTGTAAAGAAGCATTGGTATAAGGTATGGCTTCTGTTAGCAATGAAAGGCCATGTTGACGAACCATGATAGGATATGCACTATGCCGAGTTCGCAGAAGACGACGTACGTATGTTACCACCAGCAAGTGGCACTTTGTCTGATGGTGCGGTAGAGCCAGGCTCTTCTTAATGCCATCAAAGAATACGAACAGAATAAGTGGAAAGAGATTGGCAAGAAAGTTGGCAAGCCTGCCAAAGTAAGATACAGTCTTGTTTTTCTTGAGAGCCAAATCGCATGCTAATGCTCTACAGGCATGCGAGCAATATGCCAAAGAGAATTTTGGCGGCAAGATATAAGCTGGGCGAAGCTTGCATATCTTTCGGATACTAATAACGCTTTCCTGGCTATCTCCATGACTCAACTCAAGCTTTGCGCCTTCTACCTCTACGCTCTCCACCTTATTACGATCTACCTCAAATCACTTCTCCTACCCCCACTCATCATGCTCTTTCTTTCATTGTGGGCGGTATTACGCGGCCGCATTTTGCCGGCGCAGGCGGACATCTGCTCCAGCTCTACAGCGCGCATCATTTCAGCAAAGCGGTTCGATTTTTCGGGGACGGTGGGATCACTTGCCAGATGTCATTCGGAACAGATCTGGACGATTGCAAAGATGAAATGAGTGTGGCTGGCTTTCCTGGTTGCTGGTTCCGGGGCTGTGGGCTGCTCTCTCTCTATGCTTTAGGACTTTGGGAGAGCTACAATACCCAACTACGGACTAAATAAGGACGCGCGCGAGAAATCATACCTTGAATTAATGCCTGAGCTAAAGGAAAATTCTGGACATCTCTTTAAAAGAGTGAGTAAATTACTTCCCAAAGTCGCGCATCCATCCGCCTGAACTCAGGTGAGGCTGAAAGAAGAAAATGCAAATCCCCAAGGTACAAGGACCCGAGCGTTACCTGACCACCGGGATCAAGGATCCAGGCATAAGGTCCCGATATTCAAAGCTGGACAACACAGCAGCGGGAGATCGGGTTCACTTCAGGGGTACGTATAAATGCTACCCACAATGCTCCCATCAATCCTATTCCTTTCCAACCCTCACTTCACGGCGCTATGGTGGCCCTGCCGTCAGAGCTGCGTCTTTCCGATGGCGGGGATCTCAGTTCCGAGCCATTGGGATCGGTGGAAGCAAAATGGAACACGGTTCCCGGCGCGCTGTGAGACACAATTATGCAGATGCCGACCTTGCCGGGGCCGTGGCGGTGGCCTGCGTCTGTGGTTCTTCCTTTTCTTTCGAAAGATGCAGGAACGGGTGGGGTGGGAAGGGGGGATTCCAGACAGTTCGGATATGGGAGGAGATAGGAAAGGGAGAGAGATCTCGACTCTTGAAGCCTCTTGCTTCTGCATCTTCCAGGACCTATACAAAAGCTGCCGTCGATAGGATCCAAATCCAACAGCCTTACAGGCTCCACTCGGGAGATTGAATCTATTCGAGGGTCTCGATCTAAAACGCCGATCTAAGAGCGGGCGGCAGATGACATGTCGCCAAAAACAAACATCAAGGAGGGAGGTACGAGGCTCTGTCCGACATGGTGTAGCCGAGATAGAAACACTGTGATGCTTTGCAGGTTTCTCAGAATGAAGCAATTGATTGATAATGGAGATATAGCGAGAACTTGGGAAATGCGATTCGGTTCGTCGGTCGTCGTCAGGTCAGCAAATGTATACGGTCCGTATAGACGGAGTGGGTACTGGCGATGATAATCTCCGCTGCAGCAGAAAACGGGTTGACATTATGTCGTGCTTCACCTGAGCAAGATGCACGGGAAGCTTGAGTTGCCAGCCACATGTCATGCATCATATGAGTATACCAGTTGTCCGCCTGCTTTTCTCTTTGTTCGTAGCGTATGGTTTGTTGACTTGAATTATGTTTTCATGCCGCTTGCCGATTCGAGTGACATGTCTCAACTGGAAACAAAAGAAAGTACAAGTACCTACATTACGGAGTCGCTCGCCGCCGCTTTGTTGAGCCATCCGCGAAGGGTGGGCAGCTAGGAGGGTGACGTTCATACGAAGGAAATCGGATTCATTTCAGGAGACGATAGATTTGGATTGGCTATGTTTTGGACCCGTGAAGTGAGTTGCAACTAACAGAGAGCTCTGACCCCTGTTTGTCCATCCATTTCAGCAACCCTCGCTCACAACGACAACGACAACAACGACAACGGGAACTCCGCGGTCCTCGACAATCGACAATCGATTAGCTTCGACTCGAACGAACAGGACTCGCAGTCCGATTGCCCTCGTGGGACCACACGCTCGCTACTGATAGAAAGACAATATCAACAAATCCTTTGATTTCCTTCACCCCTCCCTCGTTCTCAGGAGAGACGCCGCCACCCGATCGCATTTCCCAAGCCTCTTGCTAGAATACCGTTTTTTCTATTCGATCTGCTCTTGACCGAAGCTTTTTTTCTTCCGTCGCGTCGACAGACTTTCTGAACAAACTCTTATTGCAATCTGACTTTCTTGGCTCCCTTCTTATCCGCAACATGCTTCGCGCCTCGACTCTATTCCACCTCGCCCTGTTGGCCTCTGCGTCGACCGTCTTGGCCGCTGCCCCCAGCTGCGGTCTCGATAATAAATGCCCTTCGGCCACACCATGCTGCTCACGTAGGTCTTTCACAGAAAAGAAGCAGGCATATTCAAGCAAAGCATGTACTGACTGACGTGCGCAACCTAGAATACGGATCGTGTGGTGTAGGAGCATATTGCTTGGGAGGCTGTGACCCTCGATCGTCGTTCCAGCTCGACTCTTGCGTGCCCGCGCCCGTCTGCCAGAGCAAGTCTCACACATTCGAAGACTTGAGCAAGGTTTCACCTAACACCAAATACCTCGGCGATGCGGACTCGGCGGATTGGGTGTCTAGCGGTCAACCAGTCGCATACAATAACAACGTTCTCTTGACCATGGCGACCGAAACTGTCGGCACCCTGCTGGCAAGCACGTCGTACATGTGGTACGGGAATGTGCAGGCGAAGTTCAAGACTAGCAGAGGAGCTGGCGTTGTGACTGCATTCATTTTGCTCTCGGATGTCAAGGACGAGATTGATTACGAGTTCGTTGGTGTTGATTTGGAGCAAGCCCAGTCTAACTACTACTTCCAGGGGATTCCCGATTGTAGGTTATTATGATAGCACATTTTGAAGGAACTCGCTGATCCGAAATAGACGCCAACGGGGTCAACATCTCGCTCTCGGATACCTTCAATAACTACCACACCTACGAGATCGATTGGACCCCAGATACTGTCACATGGAAGATTGACGGACAAGTGGGACGTACCTTGAAGAAATCCGACACCTGGAATGCGACTGCCAGTCAATGGAAGTATCCTCAAACACCTGCTCGTGTTCAACTCTCCCTCTGGCCCGCTGGACTTTCCAGTAACGGGAAGGGCACTGTTGACTGGGCTGGTGGACTTGTCGACTGGAACTCTCAAGACATCCAGACCAACGGATACTACTACGCGTCCTTCGAGTCCGTAACCATCTCATGCTATAATGCAACCAAGGCTCCAGGGACCAACAATGGCGTTTCTTACACTTACAACGGCTATGCAGGCACCAACGACACTGTTGTCGATGGGAAGAACCCCACTGTCCTCGCCTCCTTCCAAGGCACCGGCACCGACATGGATGCTGGCAAGCCGGTTAAGGCATCTGGAACAGGGTCAGCCACAATGGCCTCGGCAACTGCAGGCGCCGAGTCTATCCCGGGTATCTCTGGAGGTGACCCAGCTGGAGTCGACACCCACTCTTCGCCGGATTCCAACGCCGCTTCCATCGCCGCTGCGGCGACGGGCACTCCGGTGGATAATTCTGGATCTGGCACCGACTCGGCAAGCAACTCTGGTGGGACTGGATTCTCCCAAGGATCAAGCTCAGGCACCGGGACATCCAAGAGTGGGGCTGAGACGCTTGTCGGCCAGGAGAAGGTGCTGAAGGGCAGCTTTTTCGCTGGAATCGTTGCGGTTATTGCAATGATGGCTTTGTGAGAATACAAACAAGCTCGCATGAAACTTTCAGATTCTTGGGCGGGGTTGGGTTGGGTTTGGGTTTGGGTTGCTGCGTTTCTGGCTACGGCATTGCGTTTTATTGGTTCCGGTTTGTAGTACCTAATGGCGTTGGCCGTCCGCTCCCTTAAGTGCAGCTGGGCTTGGTTGGAAATGATTTGGTTTCTTGTACATACTTACTAGGATGGGGTGTCATGGTGGAGAGCGCCGTAAAGACGAATGGATGGCCCGTAACGAGACTTTGCCATGTTCCGCCGTGTTGACTCTCTCTCTGATCAGGGGCAGTATCCCTTTTCACGGAAGCCACTGGCAAGGATTTCCACGGTCCTCACCTCACCTTCCTGCTGGCAAGTAGTGTGTTTTCGACCACGGTGGTATGCTCGCTCGCTCGCTCGTTCCCCGAGTGTATACTTGGCTTTATAGGTTTTGAGCGATCTACACCACCTATCTTGCATTTCTTCAAGCTTGCCCTGGTCTTATCAAATGTCGAGTAGCCCTTGATACCGAGGATGCGGACTCGGAGTCGGGGTGACATTGTCATCCGCCTCTAATGCCGTCAGTCATTTTCTTTTACAATTAGTGTATGCAAAGTAAACAAAAACAAAACCGATTTCTTACGGCAAGCCTCGGCTGCATTTACGTACGTGCAGAACTTTGCCGCGATCTACCTAGTAAGTAGTAGTAGTACGGAGATTATTGCGATCTACTCCGCAAACCATAACAGCCCCCCAGCAATGCTTATTCCTTCGAAGGGTCGGGGATTATCCCAAGGATAGAAGATTCCTCCCGTGCGGAGCTGCGGATAGCATACGCGCAGTAATGGCCAAGCTATTCTGTCCTTGCCAGGATAGGGCCGGAAGACGACATACGATGCCGTCTTTTATCAACCACTAGGTAACAGCTGCTCTCCTCTCCATTTCCTATCACCACCTAATTCACCTGGATCTAGTTTACCGGATCTTGATATAAAGCAAACCTTACTTTGCTAATCATCGCAACAACATAAAAACCTTGACCCCAATCTACGAAGGATCTGATGGCTAGCATAGCAATTATTGGCTCAACTGGCCTGGTCGTATGTAGCAATCCCACCTCGCACACGACACGCAACCACCTATCTAATACATAGACAGGGCTCGCAAATCCTCTCAACCCTCCTGTCCCTCCCATCCATCTCCTCCGTCCACGCCATCGCCCGCCGCCAGCCCCCTTCCACCGACCCCAAGCTCCACCCCCTCATCAACGCCGACACGGCACAGTGGGCAAGCTCCCTCGCGTCCGTCAAGCCCGCTCCCGATATCCTGCTCTCCGCGCTGGGCACGACCCGGGCCGCAGCCGGCGGCATCGACAACCAGCGCAAGATCGACCTGGACCTCAACGTCGAGGTAGCGCGGGCGGCGAAGGCGGCCGGCGTGAAGATCTACGTGCTCGTCTCGAGCGGTTCCGCCAGCTCCGCGTCGCGCTTACCCTACTCCAAGATGAAGGGCGAGCTGGAGGACGCCGTCAAGGCCATGGACTTTGAGCACACCGTTATCCTGCGCCCGGGCTTGCTGGTGGGCAGTCGGAAGGAGACTCGGCTGGCCGAGGGGCTGCTGAATGGGCTCGCGAAAGGGTTGGGGGCTATCAGCGGAGGGGTGCTGAAGGACTTCTGGGCGCAGGATGCCGAGGTCGTCGCGAGGGCTGGGGTGAGTGCTGCGTTGCAAACTCTAGAGGGGGGCAAGCCGAAGGTGTGGGAGGTGGGCATGGGTGATATCGTGCGCTTGGGGAGGACGGAGTGGAAGGCCTAGGGAGTTAGCATATGCTTCTCCTACTGGCGAGCGCTGGATGGAAATTTTGGGATTGTGGATAGGAGTATGAGGATGCCATTTGCTAGGTTTGTTCTGCACTTTTCCTGTAATGCTCAATGCCGGGGTTTTCCCCTCTTATTCGACACCAGATTTACCTATCCTCATATGTCCCTTCCTAAACTCATGGCTTGCTAGCCTTGTTCGGGCTCCCCCCTCCGCTCTGCCTCTCCTTTCCCGGAGAGCTCTCAGCACCACCCTCCTGCTGTCCTCTCTGCTTCGATACCTCTGGATTCGCAGGCGATACTTCCAATGGGTTTCCCGACTCCTATACCCACTATCAGCACTTCCCCTCCCACCATCGATCAAAAGCGTCACATACCTCGTTGCCCGCCCCCGCAATCTCCTTCTCCTGCTGTGGATCCGTCGTGCTGGGATCAAACGCAGCCTTCTCTTGTCTCGCGGCCGCGTCGTCGGAGCCGGACTTGCTGTACTCTGTTGCTTCGGTGTCGATGCTGTCCTTGTCCTGGCTGTCCTTCCTAGGGTATGCCCGGATCGCAGAGTGGGACAGTGGGCGGGCTGGAGCCGCGATGAGGTGCTTAGGAGCGTGGAATCGTGGAGGGCGGGCGCATTGCCGGGCTGCCAGGCGGAGGATGGATGTTGGTGACATTTCCTCTTCCTCCTCTTCTTCTTCTTCTTCTTCTTCTTCTTCTTCTACTTCTACCTTTTCGTTTGGTGAGTGAAGGCTTTGCTTTTGGGGTCGAGGCAGGTTTTGTGCTCTGCTTGCTTGAGGTTAGTCTTGTGTTCTGTACAAGGTCGGTCGGTAGTGCAAACTACCTACCTCTACTGATGTTGGTCGTGGAGATCCTCGACTGTAATGGCTTCAATGGACGGATAACAAAATCGAGTCTTTACCAGCACGGTGTTTTTATTGTCCTTTTACCTTTTAGGTTATGAACGAGGCGAGGTTGGGCCTGATCAGACTTGTTTTTGAGAAGGGGGGCAGCTGTCAATTGGGAGATACGTCATCTATGGCGGGGAGCGCTAGTGTAAGGTCGCTAGCATGTCATGTCATATCATGTCAGTCCTTTGGAACAGCAGCAAGAAAAACAACAAGTATTTGGATTTCTATAATGCAAGGAGGGAACGTCGTCTCAATCAATCAATGACTGCCACGCCTCCTTTTCAAAGCTGTCCTTTTGTATACATATATATATATATATATGTATATACGGTTGGTAATCCCATTGCTATTCCTATTCCATCTCAACGATTCTTTTGATCTCGTGATTTTCCTAGGACCAAGTTCAGAGGACAGAGACTGCACAATCAAGGTCAAGGATGCGATTCTGATCCCGAATCTTTTTGCTTTTCAATTTCCGTTTTGGAGAAGCTGTTGTTTTGGATCTACTCGCTTAGAATGCTCCAAGCGATACGTGCATCTGTAGCTGGGGGACCTTGACTTTCCGTACGTACGGATAGTGAAGTTTGCTTGACGAAGCACGAAGACTTGGAAATAAACATTCCGTGTTCGGGTCCCTTGTGATAAGCCTCTACTGTATTAGGTACCCCTGATCGGATTACAGTCAGAGGCAAGGGCTGCACGAGTCATAGGAGGCCGGCCGAGATGTTTATCCGGGCCCGTCAAAGTCAGGCGCGAAGGCGTGCTTGTCGGACTCGGAATCTTCACGCAGAATCGCCTTTGTCTGGGACTCGACCAGCGAGTTCGCCACGGAATACTGACTAATACTGGTAGGTGTACTGATAGGTAAACTAATAGGTAAATGCGCAGACGTTGGTGCAATGGCATTTTCATGCAAAGTCAAGTCAAGCTAGACTAAGTGTGGCTTAGGTTTCCTTTCGTACTGTAAGAACATTGATTGATTCTGCCGCTTCTAATGTCTCTCTTGCACTCCTCTTCTCCATTATTTCCTTTGCTCTCGAGGGCTTGATATACACTATTCCCTCCATCCATCTTATATCTGGTCTGGTCTGTTCTTGTCTGTTAAAACTTATCTTAAGCTGCACTTCGACATAGTACGCTATGGGTGAACCAATGCATCTGATAGACCTGGACCAGTCCCCGACCTTATCCCCGAATCGAGGTCGAGGGATGAAACGCAAAGCCGACAGTGTTGTCTCGGTTGTCAACTCAACCAGCAAAAGCCAGGTAAGTACACACACTTCATCATGGAAATCCGACCCAAGAGCTCCCCTGATCTTCTATCGCAGGCACCTAAAGGTGGCGATGTTCTCTTGAGCACCTGGAACTCTTCTGGTGACGATGCCCCCACCTTCAACAAGTTTACCCCAAAGTCCGCGACCTTGCCCTTTGGCCAGCCAATTGCCTACTCTGCGATTGATGGGCCTACCTACCTCACCGCGCAGACCTTGGTCCAGCAGGTCGCATACGCCCTCTCCGACAGTATCTTCTCATACTCCCCCGAGTCTTTTGATCTGGATGTTGCAGTGAAGGACTGGTCCGCCGCGGGTTTCCGAAATGCCAATGGATATACTACAAAAGTTACGCCTCTGCAGACACGCTCTGGCGCTGGATCGTTCGCTTTGGGATATATGTTCTCCAACGATTTTGACTTGACCAAGCGACACATCCCTCAGTCTTTGCTTGCCTCTTCCTCGAGCTTGCACAATCTTCGTTCGACCCTTGATCAGCTCTCCCTTCTATACTCGGTCGCAAACCCATTTGTTGCACATGTGGCGGCGGTTGACTATGCCCCAGGCGGAGCCCAAGGCCTTGTGACTGACTACGCGACGGCACTGACTGTTGCCGAGGAATTGGGACTTGGCCTCATTGCCAGCTCATCTCCATATGAAGCTCAGCACATGTCCCTCTTCTCAACTATTCTAGCAACCGTTCTGCCAACTATTCATATCTACGATGGTGTCAATATCGGACGTGACACATTGCGAGTGATTGATGTGCTCAATCACTCGGGCCTTGACTCTGCATACAACAATGTCTTGAAGGAGGTTGCAAAGATTAGCAAAAGAGCTGATGCAGAGACTAAGGCGGGTCATATCCTAGATGCGTTCAATAATGAGCTCGGTACCGCATACGGTCTTTTCGAATACCGTGGTAGTAACGCCGCTGAGACTGTTTTGGTTGTATTTGGTAGCGTCGAGAGCTCTATCGCGGGTCAAGTCGCAGAGAAGCTGTCTGAAGTGGGACACAAGGTTGGCACTGTCACTGTTCGGGTTTACAGACCTTTCGCTGAGGAGGCCTTCTTGAAGGCACTGCCTGCATCAGTTACGAATATTGTGGTTCTTGGTCAGGTTGTGGACCAGACTGCAGTTGCTGATAACTCAACCCATTCGAACCTGTACGAGGATGTCCTTGCTGCAACCATTCTCTCAGACAAGTGGAACGCGCCACCTGCCGTTGTCGATTTGAAGTACTCGCGCGCAGACGTCTTGACACCGAACACCATGGCCTCGTACTTCCAGCACTGTGGTGTCAAGTCTCTCGAGAATGCCAACCTGGTAGAGATTCTGAGCACCTTTGGGATCGAGCAATACACATTTTGGGATGTACAAGACTCCGTTGCTTCGACTGCCCCAGTCGCACTTAGCAAGTTATTATCCGAAGACTCTGCTATCAATGTGGTTGTCAGCCAGACACATGACAGTCTGGTGCAAGGTGGCACCGTGAGGACTGATATTCGCACATCAAAGAAATCCGTTGAATCCTTCTACCCCATCGAAGAAGCTGATGTTGCCGTCGTCGGGGAGGAGAAACTTCTCAAGGAGATTGATATCGTCAAAAACCTCAAGACTGGTGGATGTTTGATTCTGACGCTTGCGGGTGTGAAGGACGAAGACTTGGAGAAGAAGCTCTCGTCTGCTGTGCGCAACGAGATCAAGTTCCGAAGCATTCAATTGTTCATCTTGGACCCAACTCTCTCGGCTGCAGTAGAGAAGGATGTAGCCGTGACAACTTTGGTCACCGAATTGGCATTCCTCAAAGTCGCACGGCTTGACTTCTGGGAGACTGGCTTGCAGAGGCTCGCCGGTGTCAATGGCACCGAAGATCTACTGAATGAGGTTGCTGCTGATCTGGACAATGTTGTCCGACAAATCGAGATTCCAGAATCCTGGGCTGAGGTCGATGTTGATTCCGAGTCCCCTGAGCTTCCACGTAACATCAAGGCCAGCAGCTTCACTTGCTTCGCTCAGGAGGATCTTGAAGAGCCCGCTCTCCTCAGGAACTGGCAATCCGTCGCCAAAGGTCTTGCGTTCAAGGAAGCATATGGAACTAAGAGTGCTCTCAGGCCAGATCTTTCCACCAAGACATACGAGATCACTGTTCAGGAAAACCGTCGTCTAACGCCTCTCACCTACGACCGCAACATCTTCCACATCGAATTTGATTTGGGTTCCTCAGGTCTCACTTACAACATCGGCGAAGCTCTTGGTATCCATGCTGAGAACGACATCAATGATGTAGTTGAGTTCATGAATTTCTATGGTCTCAACGCGGAAGATGTCGTCGAGGTTCCCTCCCGCGAAGATCCAAATGTCCTAGAAACCAGAACTGTGTTCCAGTCCCTCGTCCAGAACATCGACATCTTTGGCAAGCCACCAAAGAAGTTTTACGAGTCTCTCGCAGAGTTCGCCGACGATGAGGCCGAAAAGAAGGAACTCCTTACTCTCGGCAGCCCCGAAGGCGCCAACATGTTCAAGCGTCGCTCTGAAGTGGACACAATTACTTACGCTGATGTTCTCCTGGAGTTCACGTCTGCCCACCCAAGCTTCCACGACATCGCCCAAATTATCTCTCCAATGAAACGACGCGAGTACTCCATTGCCTCTAGTCAAATGGTCGGTCCTACTACCGTAGCCCTTATGATTGTCGTCGTCAATTGGGTCGATACTAAGGGTCGGGATCGCTTCGGCCAAGCTACCCGCTACCTCAGCCAACTGCAAATTGGAGCAAAAGTCACTGCCTCCGTCAAGCCGTCCGTAATGAAGCTCCCCGCCAAGGATACCGCCCCTCTCATTATGGCCGGTCTCGGAACCGGTCTCGCTCCATTTCGCGCCTTCGTCCAACACCGCGCCATGCAAAAGGCACAGGGCAAGGAAATCGGCTCCATCCTGTTGTACATGGGGTCTCGTCATCAGCGCGAGGAGTACCTCTACGGCGAGGAATGGGAGGCTTACCAAGATGCCGGTGTCATCACCCTCCTTGGCCGAGCCTTCTCTCGTGACCAGCCTGAGAAGATCTACATCCAGGATCGCATGCGGCAGACTATTAGCGAGATCATCAAGGCGTACATCAAAGAGGAGGGTGCGTTCTACCTCTGTGGGCCGACGTGGCCTGTTCCCGATGTTACCGAAGTCCTTGAGGAGGCTATTGCTAGGGATGCAAAGGCTGGTGGCAAGAAGATCGACCCTCGCAAGGAGATTGAGAGACTAAAGGAAGAAATGAGATATGTTCTTGAGGTATATTAGAGAAAGATGCTCGGTTAGTAAAGAAGTGTTTTGCATAGCGATTAGTAGCATGTTCTTCACAGGAGGTCCCTCTTATGCAATCTAGACTATAAGACCTTATGATTCTCTTCAAGTCTACTTACTACCTCTTTACGGTCAAATTTTTATAACTCGAAAGACCTTGTCCACTTTAGGAGCGTTGAGACTCGCCGTCGCGTTCCTCAATACCAGAGATCAACTATCATAATGGCAATCCAATTCGTGAGCGAGCAACCAAGAATCAACAACCCCCTTCCCCTCTGCAGCAAAGAAGCCTAGCGATCAAAACAAGCTGGAAGACCCTTCTTCAAAGCTTACATCACAGAAAGTACTAAGCAGGGTCTTGAGAACAAACCAAGACTTTTCAATAATCCGTAAGCTAGAAGGCCGGGCTTTGCCTACTACAGTACCAATGCGCGGGCTTCCCGTCGCTCGTCCGGCAAGCAAGTACCTCGATCGATCAGAAACAAGTGAAGAGAGGGATTGATCGACGAGTCGAGCGACCTGTCCGTCGTTACGGGCTGGTTCGTCTTCGTCTTCATCTTCTCTTTGCTCTGCTACCGTCGAGCCTGAACGAACGGTTCTTCGCAATCTTTGTACAGTACGGGAATGGATATTCAGAGCTTCTTCTCCATCGGTAAGGCACTGAAACGTATCGGAGGACGATAGAGGGCAGACAGAAAGACAGAGAGAAGCCAGTCGACGTTTGTGTATGTTGTTGTTGTTGTTTGTCTCTCTGGTCGGTCCAGCACTCACTCACTCACTCACTCGCTCTCTTCCCAAACCCAGCTGCTTGTGCTGGCAGCGGCATCTGGTACTGTACACTTCCCAGTAGCTCCCGATGGCAGGTATCAGATCAGAGCAGTGCAGTGCAGAGCAGCACCGCCATACATATATATATACCTATTTCTGGATAGGCTGGGCTACCGTCTTTGCGCCGAAGGGAATCCGTAGCTTCCGTTGAATTCACGGAGGTTGGAGGCCCAGTGTCGTGCCGGAGGCCCAGTGTCGTGCCGGAGGTTTTCAAGTCTATCTAGGCCACCCGAGGGTGGTAGGGGCCGGAGAGAACATACGCATGCATTCGCCATAGACATGTATCTATTTGCATCTCGATATGTTAGACGACGCTATATCAGTTCTAGGAGAGGGGATGGTGAACTGGGGGCAATCCCAGATGCTGCAGAGGGCTGCCCACGTGCTGAGGCCAAAGGCAACAATAATTAATCAGTTCAAAGCTCAGAAGCACTCCATCGGAGACAAGGATTATTCAATGTACATATATTCAAATAATCGTCTAGACGCCTTCCCCAGCTCAAAGACTCTGTCCCTATAGGTATCGATCATCCCTGATCATCATCATGCACCGCAGGTCGCCACCCAAAGTAAACAAATCCCCTTCTACTCCAACGAAAGCAAAAGTCAGATCTCTGATACGGCCCTGATGAGAACCGCGCCATACATAATCTCTAATTAAGGAATCTACCATCGTCGGCCATACACAGCATCCTCTTTGCTAGCAGTGGCACTCGTACGCGCCTTGGAAGTTTTCTCTCTCGCAGCCGTCACATCCCGGCTAGATCCAGGACTGCTTACGGTAGGGAACTCTTTTAATATTCTAGGCTTGGCACCAAGATCATACTTGCGATCGGTGGGAAAATGAGGAGCAGTGTTCTCTGCATCTCGGCGGAATAGCTGCAGAATTTCCGTCATGCCGAGTTTGCCTGCACCACCCTTGCCACCTTCGATGGTCTGATTTGCAAGCTCTCTCTTCTTTTCTTGGAGGTCGAGAATACGCTCTTCTACTGTGTCCTTGATAGTGATTTTGTAGACGATTACGTCGATCTTTTGGGTGAGACGATGGACACGATCGATGGCCTGTTCTTCCACGAACTGTGTGTGTGTTAGCAAGGAAGCGCATCGAGTGGATTTGAATACCTACAGGGTTCCAGAACGGCTCAAGAATAACTACACGGGTTGCTGCAGTGAGATTGAGACCCAAAGATCCACATTTCAAACTGCAAAGCAGAATTCTGCAATTTTTGTCATTTCTTAACTTTGAAAGACTGGCCTCTCGCATGTCATTTTTCATACTTCCATCATAGCGAGTGAACTTGAATCCCCGTTGGCGCAGGAAGGGCTCAATGAGATCCAACATTGACGTGAACTGCGAGAAAACGATGAACTTGTGCTCGTCGACTTCCCTGTTAAGAATCTTCATGAGGTGGGTGATCTTAGTTGATGTGACGATAGTTGCGAGTTGTGCCTTTTCATCGGACGAAGAATCGAACTCATCTTCCACCTCTGAGTCCTCGTCAGAGCTTGAGTCAGAGCTCGAGTCAGTGGCAGAATCGGAATCTTCCTCCGAGTCGTCAGAATCAGCAGCTTCCTTCTTCGGCTTGTGTTGATGGAGGTCCTTGATATCCGGGAACGAATCCTCTTCATCTTCTGAATTGAGCCACTCGCCTCCACCCTCAGCATTCTCGTCGGCTAACCCACCGGCTTTACCAAGCGTCAACGGGCCTTGCTTGTCCTTGCCTACGACCCAGGATCCTTCATCATCTTCTTCCTCATCATCACTGTCCTCGATAACATTACGGTTCCGCGGCTTACGAGTGAGAAGCTTAGGTTCCGACTTTTTCTCACGATGGCGGTGTTCCTTGTGCCTATTCTTCTTCTCCTTCTTTGACTTGTGCTGAGCCACATTCATGAGGTCGGTCTCGCAATCCAAGCATCTGATAGCTCCCTCGGAGATAGCAGTTTTTCCCAGCTCGAGCTGGCAAACCTCGCACTTCTTGGAGGCGACACCAAGACCTCCAAAAAGGTCTGCTATCTCGTCAACATCCGCATCCTCATTTGAAGTCTTCGATTTTTTCGGGTTGCCAGTCTCAGCAGACAAAGCTTCGCTATCCTTAGCAAGTTTACCAGCAACCAGCTTCGGATGGTTACATGCTTGTCTCAAACGTAACAGCAAAACCAAAGCACTGGCATAGTTGACCTTCTCACCACTCATCATCTGCTCAATACTGGCATCGGTACGTTGTTCGAGACGTTCATAGAAGTGACGCTCTTCAGGCGAAAACTCGGCGAAGACTTTCTCGATCTTTCTGTCGGTGACTCTGAATCCAGTGGTGTTGTTTCCACCGGAGGCTGATGGCTTCCCTCCTGGATTCAAAGCCCCATCCTTCTTCAAGATTTCCTTGGTACGGCGCTTCATAAAGATCTTCAGGTAGTGCCGCAGACGCTTGATAGCGACATCTCCCCTACCATTCTTCAGTGGACGATCGATTTGGTCCTTCCATTCTCTCAAATCATCGTAAGGCTTGATACGCAGGAATTTGATGAGACTCTGTAGCTCATCCAAGTTGTTCTGCATGGGTGTACCAGTCAAGCACCATCTGTACTCGCTTCGCAACGCATAGCAAGCCTGAGTGGCTTTCGCATTACGATTCTTGATGGTGTGGGCCTCGTCAAGAATGACACGATACCAGTGTAGACCGAAACATCCGACCTTGACGCCACCTGCATGTTCTGAAGAGCCACCAAATTCGGAAACCAGGATTTGATAAGTTGTCACTACGACGTCGAATTTCTTGAGGTCCGCGAAACGTTTGGTACGTGATGGACCATGATGGACACAGACTCTAAGCGAGTGGGAGTGTTCAACCTTGTCCTTGATCTCTGCCTCCCACTGTCGGATAAGAGCAAGAGGGGCAACAACTAAGGTAGTCTTCTCCAAGCCTGAAGGCAACTTACGTTCGGTGATAGTAGCTTCGTCTGCAGGCTTTGGGTTGGTGAGGATGAGAGAGATGGATTGAAGGGTTTTGCCAAGTCCCATGTCGTCAGCAAGAATTCCACCCTTCGGGACTCTTGCTCCTTTCTTTCCAGTACCAAGTTCTCGGCCTTTCATCCATTCAAGACCTTCTACTTGATGAGGAAGCAGTTTGACTTTGACGCCTTCAACAGTACCATCATCGTCCTCCTCCTCCTCATCGTCAGAGGCAACTGCGAGCTTGTTATCTCCTCCCATTCCGAGGCTTTTCCATTTTTCCAAGAGCCCGTCAACATCGTCGTCCTTCTTCTTCTTGCGAGACCGAGTTCTAGGCAAATCGTCTTCATCCTCGATAGCACCCTCCAACAAAGCCTTGAGGTCCTCCTGTGCCTTTGCGGGATCCACGAAGGTAAATGATTCATGCGAGTCAACAGCTGCTGAGGCATCGTATGGGTCTCTGTAGCCATCCTTGGTAAGATCAATGTAATTACTTCTATCAATACCTGGGTTGACAGTTTGGAAACCACCAGACGTGCTACCCATCGAGCCGAACATTTGTTTGGGTGCGGCTTTAGTGGTCGTGTACTGAGTCTGTTGAGGGGCAGGTGCTCGATACGCGCTGGCATTCGCCTTGGGAGGACTAATACATATCAGTTGTTGAATCATAGCCTGAGATGGAGCATTCTCACGTATATTTGAGACCTGGTTGAAAGTCTGCTGGCGCTCTAGGCATGAGAGGATCGATTATATGTCGATTGATGACGTCCTTTGCGGCCTGTAGATGAGGATGTGCTAGAATATTTTATCAGCTTCCGGAAGTGTCAGGTATAAGTTGACATAGTCACCTACCCGGTCTTTCAGCCTCTCTATGGTGTTCTGGGCGGGATTTTGGTTGGATGAACATAGCGTCCTTCGCCGGAGGTCTATGGAGGGGAGATGATGGCATTGTCGGCTGTCCAAATTGAGGGACGGAAGAGAAGGGTTTCGGGGCATAAGGACTCTCTGACTGCTTCTTCGCAGGCGATCGTTCGTTGACCATATTGTCGTCACGCGTCCGTCCAGGAGCTGGTGATATGCCAAAGACAAACGGGATTGGGCGGTCGGTATTTCCAGGTTTGACCGTCACCGCACAGCCGAAATCGAAAGACGCCGGAGAATCGTAGGAAAAGAGCGAGCTGGAGTTCCCAAGTTCGCTGAGGGTGATGCTGCGGTCTGGGGAGTCGAGTGGCTCGGGTTGAACAGGGCCCAAGTCGCAATGCTTTAATTTAGAATGCCGGGCTCGGGGAAGGTCTGGTTGTTGACTCGAGGAGCCCGGGGCCCGCTGTCTGGATGTCGGAGGGGCTGACAGCGAATTGTGCGGGGTGAAGGAACTTCTATTCGGTTGGTATTAGCAGATATCTCTGACCATAGACAGAGGATATAGCTACTTCATGAAGCTCAGATGGACGTATTTTTGTTCTCCAGAATCCTATTTCGTGAATGTTATGAGAAAGAAGTCGTTGGTGGGAGTCGTGGTGGGAGGTCGTAAAAGTCGCGTTGTTGCCCATGACAACATCGGTGGCAAATCAAGCATGCGAAACGCCCGGTCACGGGGTGCTGAACATTAATAGTCGGCAGTGGGTTGTATTTTACATTGATTCACTACACTATGGGTATCTCGAGCTCCTATCACACCTTGCATAACGCCAGAGTTCCGTGAGGATCCATTCCCATGCACTTGTGCAATTACAGATCCGGCCCATTGACTAGGCCCCGGCTGATTTGCCCGCCGTATTGCTTCTTCCCCGTTTTTTGGTGTCGAACAAGCTCTTGACCCTTCTCAGCTTCGCCCATCGCTCCTTATCCTTTTCATCCCTGATACTCTTTGCATCCTCGTCGTCTATTTCCGCTGGCGCCGCCTCGCAGGCAACCACTGCCTTCGGTGATGGGCGAGGTTTTCCTGCTTGAGCATCCTTCGAGGTCCTCAAATAATGATCGTTCTTGAGAATCCGCACCACGATCTCCCAACCGGCCATAGTACTTGTAGAGCTCTTGGCGGGGTTCTTTCCGTTCTGAGATGCGGGATTGCTCCACGGACAATAATTTCTGTGCTGCTTCCGGATATCAAGGCAGTTCATGGCTGCTCCCCTGACTTCTTCTCCAGCTTCGTTCAGTTCTTTGCTTTTGAAGATCCAGAACCCGAGAACCCGGAAGCAGGCGTGACAAGATGCCGACGCAGGTTGGTCACCAAGTCGCTCATGTACATAGCCTTGCCATCCGGCCAAAGCCATTAGAAAGGCAACCTTGTTGATATCCGCCGATGCACTGCTGGTATTTCCCGTGGAAGGAGGGTTGCTAAAGAAGGCAGGCGGGAGGTAGCTTAGGACAAGTTCCAAGTCTAGTTCTGGAGGAGGTCGCATGTTGAAGAGATATGGCAGATGTTCGCTTCTCTGGAGGAGCTCTTGGTATCGTTTGCTGAGTGCTTCGATGGTCGTAGGAGCGTGATTGAGAGGTAGCTTGAATATGGTGTCTATGAATTTAGCCAGGTATCTACCAACGTGAACAGAGGGACATACCATCACATCCTCGTTTCCTCCACAAGCAGCTCTCATCGTGTGAGGTTATGATCAACTCGACGTACTTATCTGCCAATGCAGCTTCTGGGCAGTATTAGTAGATATGTTAGAGCTTCAACAGTAGGACCCACCAATGTTATCCGCAACAAGCACATCGACCTCCTTGCCATCGACCACCTTCTTGTTGAGCTTGACCAGGATCTCCACGTTGCAGAGGCAGCAGCGCACTCTCTCGCGCTTCTGACAGACCCAGCCTCGTTTCGCCCACTCCACCTCGTTGACCCTCTCAGGTTTTGGCGTCCATTCAGTAATATTTGAGAATGATTTCAAGCGCTTGAGGAACTCCTCGCGGTCCCATGGGGCATATTTGGGAGGCTCCGTTGACGCCACCGGGTGTGCCATTGAGGCTGATTTTTTGTGATTCATGATCGTGGCTCTCGCGGTATTCATAAGAGAGGAGGATATGCTATTCGAAACTCTCTTTGGATTGCTGATCCTTCGTTTTTTTGACTGGGCGTCGTTGGTGGTCGACAGGTCGACGTCGACTTCGCTGTTGTTCACTTCCTTTGACAATGATATGGTGGACTTGTTGCCGATTCCATTGAGGAGGGCATTAAATTTGCGTTTCGTTACGTTCATAGTAGGCGTTGGATCTGAACTTCTTCAGCGTGAGGATTTGTGCAGTACGCAATATTTTATACATTAAGTCGTTGCGGCTGCTGACAATGAATCGACGGTTGCTCCTTGCGACGGTGGCTTTGCGCTGCAGGAGCTTGGGTGTTGAACATCCCCGCAAAGAGAATTCCCGGCTTTCTCCAAGTTCCGCCGAGTTGACTAAACCCTCTAATGCCATCAAATCCTCGGAAAGTTCCTCCAGCTCTAATCACTCGTCACATTCTCTCTATCGCTACTATACTTGTTTTAATTCTGGCCGCCCTCACGAAATTCTGGCCTCGCCTTTCCTCCCTCTCAAACCATCTACTAAAACCCCCACCACGACCCCTCTTCACCACCACCAAAATGGCATCCTACACCAAGGAACTCGAGGTCGCACAGCTCGCCGTACAGAGAGCAACGCTCCTTACCAAGAAGGTCTTCCAACAGAAAGCCAAGGGCACCATCTCCAAAGATGACGCCTCGCCAGTTACGATTGGCGATTTTGGCGCGCAGGCTCTCATCATCCACGCCATCAAGAAGAACTTCCCAAATGACCAGGTCGTGGGCGAGGAGGAGGCCAGCACCTTGAGAGAGGATACGAAGTTGAGGGATCAGATATGGGCGTTGGTAAAAGACGCTAAGCTCAACGATGCGGAAGCAGAGAAGGTCCTTGGAGGACCGATCGAGTCGCTGGACGCTATGCTGGATGCGATTGATGCCGGAAACAGCGCTGGAGGCAACAAGGGCAGGATCTGGGCATTAGATCCTATCGACGGCACCAAGGGCTTCTTGAGAGGTGGGCAATACGCCGTATGCCTGGCACTGATGGTTGACGGAGATGTGAAGGTTGGAGTTCTGGGTTGCCCGAACCTGCCAATTGATGACGCAGCTCCGTTGACGGCCGAGTCGGGCGTGGATCAGACAGACGCCGAAGGAAAGGGGGTTCTGTTTGCTGCTGTGAAGGGACAAGGAGCTATCAGTAGACCGTTGGGCGCTGCTGGTTTGGGCAGGAGCCAGGCTATCCAGATGAAGCCCGTGCAGGATCTCGAGCAGGCAACATTCTGCGAGAGTGTCGAAGCTGGGCACTCGTCGCACGGAGACCAGTTCGCCATTGCGACGAAGCTCGGTGTCACTAAGCAAAGTGTAAGGATGGATTCGCAAGCAAAGTATGCTTCGATTGCCCGAGGAGCTGGTGATATCTATCTCAGACTACCAACGAGTGCTACATACCAAGAAAAGATCTGGGATCATGCTGCTGGAGATCTCATTGTCCGTGAGGCTGGGGGGCAAGTCACAGATGCCTTAGGAAGGAGGTTAGATTTTAGCAAAGGCCGGACTCTTGCTGAGAACAAGGGTGTGGTGGCGGCTCCATTAGCTATCCATGGCCAGGTACTCGATGCTGTCAAGCAGGTTTTGGCAGAGAAGTAAATGACTTACGCTATTGAATCGAAATAATACTGAGGATGCAAATTCCTATTGTGATATTATGTAACTTGCTTTTTGATGCTGGAGTAAATAGAAACCTCAGAAGAGGTGACATTTTTGGGCTTTGATATATCGAGGACGCCATGGCTAATGCATCATCCTGTGCACAAGAAGGGCAAGGAGCCTTGCGGGGCCAGATTAGCGATTAAGCTATTTAAATAACTTTTATTTAAGTAAATAATTTGAGCTTGCAACTTGGGAGTTAGAGCTTTTTGCTGCAACTTCGATTTGTATGGTGCAACTGCAAGTTGCAAGGTCAAATGCACACTTTACAAGATTTACGTGCACGAGCCATACAGATTGCTCAATTCTTGCATCTTGACGTGCAACTTGGAGATGCAAGAATATTTTGGTGGTGCAACTTGGCTTGCATCTGCGAGCCATACAGGCTCTAAATAACTAAGCAATTATTACAAATAATTATATATAACCTTTTAAAAATCATAACCATGAGCTTGGAATCTATATTCTTTTTCAATTTTAATAGCTTCAAGCAATAATAAATCGATCGGTTTTTGCAAATTCCTCGTATTTTTTAAAGTGCGCCGATTATTTTAAAAGCCTCGCATCTCTACTTAAATAGCCGCCTATTTCATTATAACCTTTTACCGATCAATCCGTTATTGCTTTGGGCTATTGAAAATAAGAAGAAAATATAAATTCGATACTAGCGATTATGGTTGTCTAGAACTTTAGATATAATTATTTGGAATTGCTTAATTATTTAATTGTTTGCTTAATTGAAAGTTATTCAAATACCGTCGACGACGTTAATATTCGAATATCATCGCGTTGAAAAATGCTATTAATTTTTGATGGAAAAATTTCTTCAAATAGGTCTATTATTAAAGAATAATATAATATTTCAAAATTAATTTTTCTATTAAAAATTGTAATAGATATATGTGTTAAAAGAAAAATTACGAAAAAGTTGACCGTACTACTGAAAATTGACCGTCTTACTGAAGGGTACCGGTACTAGGAACCGCATTCCTGCCTCTGACTAGTACTCAGACCAGGGGTACGATTAGTACCTATTACGTACCTATGTTGTATGGCAAGGCTACTCGTGCGGCCAGCATCAAGAAAAGATATTGCAATACTAAAAATAGTTAGCTAAGTGTAAATTCGATTTCGTATTTAAGATGATCTCCAAGGCAAAAAAAAATTGTATTAGCCGCACGATTATTTATAGTCGACGGAAAAATTGCAAATTCGGTTACTAATATTAGTAAAATGAATACGTCTGACATATATTATAAAAAAAGACATTTACATGTCTCCTTTTGCACTATGTTAAATCTATCACCTTTCTTACTATCTTCTTCCTTTGCAAGATTGTTCCTTGTCGTCAGCTCGCACCACCGAAAGACTCATAAACTCCAAAATGTCTATATTGTCGCAATCTATTTGCTCGATCTTACTAGCCTCGAGCTTTCTCTTTAACGGGGCTTATGGGAGAGAACTTCTCGGTTATCGAATTGTTCCTCAGGTAAGTTTTACTTGATTTACGGAGTGTAATACAAGCTTATATCAATGACGCGAATTATAGGAGGAAGCCGATTTTGTCAATGAGCATAACAAGCCATATACAGAGGAGAAGGACTATGAAAGATTCTATGATCAGATGGGAAAGGGCCTTCACTTGGGTAAGTTGATTTATATTTATAAATCGTTGATTACTGCGCGGAATTAATAATTTGAATAGTAAATGAGCCTGCTAGTTGGTGGGGCCGAGAATGGGAATGGTATTGCGCTTTCGAAGCAGATCTTGAAAAGATTAAAGAGGCAACCAAAGTATGGATCCCACACGTAAACTATATGTATTATGAGAATCTATGGTATCGAGAAGAAAGAGAGATCTTGGAGTATATCACGACAATAGTGTCAGAAAACCCGGAGAAGGCATTACGCTTTTCAATTGGTTATTTCTCAGCACGCACTGAAGAGATGACAATGGCTATTCCACTTGCAGCGGTGCAGAACAATGACTACGATTTGTGGGGGAAATGCTGGAGAACAAGGGATGAGTTGAAAGAATATGCAAACAGAATTCTTGATTGGAGGAGTTGGGAAATTATTGGAACACCTGGAGAACGAGAAAAAACACTTTAAAGGGGAATGCTAGAGCTTTTGGACAGTTAGCTGATCATCCGCTAACGATATTGTTTGGAGACGGTCCCAAAAGTTGGCATGGCTGGTGGATCACCTTAGGTTTATAGCTGAATTTGAATCAAACCTGTACTCACTCCGTAGATCTTTTGAAAAATTCAAACTATTGCTGAAATGGAACCGATATAATCGATATAATCGTCGTTCATAGAAGTCGGTCTTCTTACGAAAAGACCATCTTGGGACCGTCTCCGAGCATTTTGGGACCGTCCCAGGGCCGTAAACTGAAAACCGTCCCCGAGAACTTTCCTTAATATATCTAAACGTGTCCTCAATATATCAGAGCCTATAATTTTCAGGAGTAGGTGTGCTTCAGGATTCAGGGGGAAATTACGCAAAGCTACTTAACAGAAAACGATGTTGTTTAGAAACACCTACCTGCGGCATCGACTCAAAACACATTCATCTACCCTCGATCATAGCACCAATTTGCAGACTTCACAGAAACTCTCGTATCCAAAGAACACTCAATCTCGTGTATACGTGAAATTTTGGCGATATATTTGCATTAGTGAGCTACCCTGCCACGCAAAACCAACCACCGCGATATAGGATAATCGCCCCCCCCACCTCCTCCCCCCTCAACATCCGTGACCGCAGAAGCAAAAACTTTTTAATGCTAAGAGCGAAAGCTTAATAATCATGGTATCTCCCCGGGGTATTTGTTCTCAGCTTCTCTGTTCCTGCTATGTAGCTTTATCTGCAATGCCATATGTAATAACCCATTTATACATCAATAAATAGCAATCATAGGTGAGTGTGTAGTGATTCCAGCCTTCCACGTCCGTCATGGGTGGACTCGGGCCTAGTGTTCCGCAGGTGGGGCTGTTGATGTGTTCTCGATGATGGTGGTGGCGGCCTGCAATCAGAACATATCAAGGTGAGGATGCGCCTCATCGGACGTAGTAGATGAGTTGAAGGGAGCTGGCGATACGACTAAGGGTTGTTCCCGAGCCTTGTGAGTAACGGATGATGGAATTTGAGAAGAGGTAAAGAGCTTCCAACCCCAGTGACAGGTAGCGAAGAGTGCCGAGTGTCGAGTCCAGATGATAACTTCACTTATGATCAGGCCTTTTCGCAAGTTAGCACTTTTCTTTCTGCCGTTCCGTAGAAGGCACTTACCAGCAAGTCCTACTTGGGCATTCAGTAACTTGGATGCCGTAACGGCGGTGTTCATAGCCAACACCATGCCTAGTGGAAGCCATGTGCGAAGAGTCCAATCCGGGATCCCGCCTTCCACATTCAGAGCATCCTTCCAGGAGTGTGCATGCTCAACAGCCTTTTTTAAGTCTTCGTTAATAGTCGATGCTGCCCGACTTGCTTCGTTAAGCTGATGGGCATGACCTTGAAGGAGCTCTGTGGCATTGATCACTGCGTCCAACACTGCTTGAGATCTCTGGGGGACTGTCAGTACTATAAGTGGAAACCAATGACCATGGCTTACATCTTCCAGCACGTCCTGGCGTTCAATAAGAGAAACTATCATTGGAGCGAACTGATCCTGTGTGCAAAATTAGCAAACGAGGTAACTAATACTAGAGCACCGATGCAACATACCGATACCAACGCGCTGATGATCTTCATTCCTTCCTCGGTGGCACCCATCATCCTGTTGATGTCACCCATCTGATACTGAACATTCTTCGCGCCAGCTTGTAAAGCTAGCTCTTGCTGGGCAGAAACCTCTGCATTGGTTGCGTAAACAGTCTGGATGAGTTGCTTGATCATATGGTCCGCAGTTTTTGCGTTATTAGTAATCGAATGTACCGCAGAACCAATATCCTAGCCATGGAGATTAGTTACTGAAAGGCAATGGGAGAGCCTAGGCATACCTGGGCATCTTTGGAAACTGATTGGAGAGCTTGGGAAAGCTTGTCCTTCCATTCATTGGCAGTGCTGAAGAATTTCTCCAAATACGACTCCGCTGCTTTTGCGTTTTCAGCCATCTTCCGGCTAATGTAATCAAGATCTCCATGAACATCTTCCGAGAATTTTGCCATAGTCAAGGCTAACTCTTTTTGCAAGAGTATGTGCTGGTCTGGTAATGGTCAGTACAAAGGATCAAGCAAGCTGTGGGGAAAGGACTTGCTCTTCTCAAGGTCAAGACCAGCAGCTCGGCAGAACATCAGAGCAGTGTCGCGATAACTCAACCACGTCGCGTAGCCGTTCTCGATTTTGGTGAGAGCAATGATACAACTGTGGACCTCTTCATGCGATACATTCAATTTTCCTTTTTGCTCCCGGGCGTGTTCAAAGAGGACTGAACTGGAGAATATCGAGCAAGCTTGCGGTACAGGATCTTCTCGAGCTTCAGGGTCTCCCAGGCGCTCAATCTCGCAGGTTGTGAGACTGGCCGCGAAAGTCTCCACGTGATGTCTTTGAATATGGTCGCTGTTCAACTGATACGTTTGCTCGTTGATCCCCTCGAGGCCTCGGCAATTATTCATGAGAAGCTGGGCAGCAACGCGGTGACAGATTGGCTCGCCTTCAAGGCGCTTCAGTCGGACCAAAGCCTCGGAGTAGACTTCGGGTTTACGAGAATCAAGTAGTTCTTGTGGGTTAAATTTGAAATCCACATTACTAGGTCGAGCTCGTTCTCGATGCTGAGTAGCTTCAGGATTGTTGGAGGCTACTACAACTCGATTTCCAGCTCCAGCTCCATGCTTGAATGGAATCCAAGACAGAGCTGCTGGGAGAGCACCCAGTACGTAGACTGTAGAGAGCTTCATGTTTGAGTCCGGGTTTCGAAGTCGAGAGTGAGAGGGTGAGAGGGTGAGAGGGTGAGAGGGTGAGGAAGGTTGTGAGGTCGGTACGAGTAGAGGGCGCGCGGTTTCCCGCAAGACGCAGACCGAAATCAAGGTGAGGTGATCAGCTCGAGAAAGTACGTCGAGATGCGTCGACGATCTCGAACCTGATCTCAATTTCGATATGAGGATGATGGAACGCGGAGGAGGGTTGAAGAAAGTTAAGGTATAGGGTGTTGTGGTTGTCAAGATACGATTCGGTGGAGAAGGGTACGGTGCAGGTCAAGGAGAAAGGAAGGAGCGTTGGAGAGGGAGGTGAGTGTTTAAAAGTTCAGTTCAAAAGCCTTCAATTCACCCCAAAAGAACAGAGTGACAACGAACGACAGAGCGACTTAAATTCGAAAGAATGAAGATTGGACATTTCGCAGAAAGGAAAGTTGTTCTGCAGAAAGGCGTGCAAATAGACAATACCCACCCGATCACCTCCTTTTGGTTGATATGATTTCGGGACGGAAGCATTACTTCGGTTCGAGCATTTATATATGTACATATTGTTCGATACTAGCGAAATATGGATGGAGGTATCTGGGTTAGATGGAAGTCGGACGTAATATATATCCCCTGGCACAAATTCCGCACGTGCCATCACCATCCAATGAAGCTCCAAGTCTAAAAGTTCAACCGACTCGCAGATCGACCTCACCTCTAGCAGGTAAAATCGCACACAATGCTGTCCACCGCACGCTCCAAAGGGCTAGAGAGGGCAATTACCTGTGCGCCCTCCGTATCGATCCCAGCTTTCCTGCTTCCCGCTTTCCCAGCCGTCTCCGCGCGATCGTTTTCTGCATCCTCAAACTGCCCCTCACAAATTGGGCGTGCGCCGCTGTCCATCCCGCCCGAAGTCAACTTCACGATCCTCCCTCCCCGAGAACGAAAGAATGGCAGGTCGCCAGTTGCCGCGAGGCCCACCGTGCAGATCGAAGGTCCTCTGGGTATGCTAACTAACTAGCCGTTCAAGGGGTGCAGATACTAACGGGATTCGCAGGCAAGATGTCCATGACTATACCTCCTTTCGTCAATCTGGAGCATGACACTGCGGCGCGGAAGGCATTCGTCACAGTCGAAGACAGAGAGGTCAAGAAGCAGCGCGAGATGTGGGGTATGCGACCCCTTTTATATCAACGAAGAAGAAGAAAAGGGTTTTCAAGATAGGATACTGAGAACCCACCAGGAACCACTCGCGCATACCTCCAAAACCACATCCTAGGCGTCTCGGAGGGCCACACGGCAATCCTCCGCCTGGTGGGCGTCGGATACAGAGCGACGGTCGAGGACACGGCTACGACCGCCGAGCCAGAGTTCCCAGGCCAGCAGTTTGTCGCGCTGAAGGTCGGGTACTCACATCCGATTGAGCTGCCGGTACCGCAGGGCGTGAAAGCCAGCACGCCGCAGCCGACGCGTATCCTGCTGGAGGGCTGCGAGAAGGAGGTTGTGTTGCAGTTTGCGGCCAAGATTCGCATGTGGAGGAAGCCAGAGCCATACAAGGGAAAGGGCATCTTTGTCAACGGGGAGACTATCAAGCTAAAGGCGAAAAAGATAAAGTAGTGGTGGGTGCTAGCTGTATCATATGTAGGAATCCATGGGCTCCTGGCGTTCAGTGTCTGGTAGTTTGTTGTATCTTTGGCTTTGAGAGCATCTCGCTTACGGACAAGTATAAACATCAAATTCTTACCGACGACCCCTTTCAGTGAGCGAATGTCTAGCCAACAAGCCCTTTACTCCAATGGCAAAGTATCTTTCTCCTTGAGTGCCAGTTGCACGCTATTGCAATCAGCCCCTTAAAAATGCTCAGAAGTTTTCCGGGGTTTACTTGACCCGGAAATCATGATGCTTGTGTATCGTCTATACATACAATCTATCTAGTATTCGAACTAAAACATACCTTTTCTAGTCCTGATTATATATTACTCTCTCTGTCTCTCCTTCTCACATACACACACACACACAGACACCCTATCGAGAAAGGATTCAGAGATCGGGTGCTTGCGACATCTACGCTCTTGCTTGTGCAAAAGAGCCTTATCCTTTTCTTCTTCCCCTTCCTTTAAACGAGTGAGAGGCCTGGGTTATATTTCTGCAGATGTCAAAGTCAGATGGATTTCGAAATGCGTAAAGTACGGTACGGACCGGTTTGTTCTAAATGGCATCTTGGTTCACGGTCACAGTTTCCGAGCATTGAGGGCCGGAAGCAACTTGCTGAAGCAACTTGCTATGAATTCATGTATGTGAAATCCATGTTTGTAATAGGTTCTTGTGGCAGCTTGGAAGAGACTGGATTGGTCGAGGATCAACATCAGTAGAAACAAAAACCTTCCTAGTGAAAATCTTGATAGGCGTGTCATCTGTTAGAAGTACTTGGTGATCGACGTTGAGCCTAAGTACCTACTAGTATGGGCCTTCTCCACCAGCCCCTCCTCGCCGTCATTGATTTGCGATCGTAGAGGTAAAAATGCATAGTCTGAAACATGTTCCTTTCGGTTCTTCTGCTGGAGGACTCTATGCGATTTCCGCAAAGCTTCAAAGTCCAATCCGCTGTACGTTCCCCGCTCAAAGAGACCAGTCCGATGTAGCCAGCTCTGGGCTTCTTCCACACGACTCTGGTACCTTGCATACTGCATATTGCATTTGCCCTGAGCTTAGAGACCGCAGGACAGGATTATGTACGTAGGCGTGCCTTCCTGCACCTTCCAGCGTGGACCAGGGGACAGGGAATTTGATGGAGATGGAACTGCATGTAAAGAGCTCGTTGGTATCTTTTGGCTTGGAGAAACTCATGTACTCGTCTGAGAGTGCGAGACGCTGCTATAGCGAGGGCGTCGACAGGAGATGGTTATTATGAGTCGCGAAATGGGTCCATAGAAGTCGACACTGATCATGATGATGAGGATGGTGCGATTCAAGTATATAATATGGCTCGTATCTACCGGTACTCGAGGTCAAGACGACACGCTGACAAACGAAACATGGCAGGCCATCGCTCAGACGTTTGTTTCAGTATGCACGGTGATCGGACGGCTAAGCTACTGTACAGTACAGTACGTACAGTGGCTGGGCCCGTCCAAGCTAGGGATAAATCGATCTGGCCTGTGGTAAGTACAGATGGAGTACGGAGTAGTGAGTAGTTAGTACGTACAAGTGGTACAAGTGTGAGCTGGTACTAGTATATGCAAGGGGAGCGGTAGTCGCCGTCGATGAATCCAAATCCCTTCTCGATGCGAGAAGGGGGCGGGGAACGGGGAACGGGGAACGGGGGAACGGGGGAACGGGGAGCGGGGAATGGGGAGCGAACTATGACGAGTAAGAAGATAAGATGAAATACGGTATATAAAATACAGATGAAAGAAGAAGTTCTTGCATTGTGGATTCTGAATACTTGAGAGTACCGGTAATTGCTTGCGCTGAAAGCCCTCACGTGCAGCTGGTATTACTTATAGAAGTCAAACAAACTCCCTCCCTACCGGATCCGATTGCTGGTTATTACCGGTACTTACTACTATTAGTGCGCACGCTTTATGACATTGCAGTGACAGTACCTACCTACCTACTACGTACCTACTACCTACAGATACTTACTGCCAAGGGCCGACGCCGCGAAGAAGCGAAATAAGAAGATGCAATAGCAGGGAAAGGGTTGATCCCTTCCGTACCTACAGCTACAACTACTAGTAGCTACTCTAGCCTTCTCCTGGTCCGACGTCCGGAGTCCAAAGACCTGGCCCACGTCCAAGCAAGCCCTTTGCTTTTTTCCTCATCACACCCCATCCATCATCCCCCATTCAACCCTCCCGTTCTCCTCCCCTCTTCCCTCTCCCCTCCCTCTCATCACCGATCCGTCCACAACTGCCATTCCTACAATTCATATTCAATACAATACCCAGACATCGGACAGACTCAGACTCCGCTCACTCACTCCCTTGCCTACCCTGCCTGCACTTCATTATCGCAGGAGAAGTTGACGCGACCCAGCAACGCGCCCACCCCGTCCCAAACTCTGTTGCCACTACCCACCCGCTACTCTACCGATACTGAGTGCTAGAAGACCCTCTATCGAATCACGCCACCTGCATCTACTTCACGCAAGACTTACTTGCTTGTACTCTGCTCCAGGCAAAAGCGTTGCTCGACATTCACAGACCACCGCTCATTTACCAGGGACTGCCGGAGAAGAGAAAAAGGGGAACCCGGAGATTGGACGACTACCTTCCGCGCTCGTCAAAGATTCACCTCCGGCTCCGCGATATGACAATTGCTCTCTGAGCTTCTATCCGCCGAGCAATCCAACACCGCTCTACATCTCCCCACCCGCAATCACGATACGACAACTTTGACAGAACCACGTCTTGGCGCAACGAAGCCTCTACCAGAGCCATGGCAAGCTCACCGCCAGGGTCGCCGCTGGCGTTGTCGAGACCAGCGAGCGCGCTCATGAGGCCCCCAAGGACGACAAGCCGATTGAGCATGACGAGCAAGGGCCCATCAGCTGGAGGAGGAGGCAGCAGAGCCTCGGACGAGGATGGGAAGACCGCAGTAAAAGTTGGTAGGTTTCGCTTTTCCTCTGGAGTCTTAGAATCTCTCGTAGAGAAATACCTGCTAATCTTTGAACTATAGCGGTCCGTGTACGACCTCCACTCCGATCAACAGACCCCGGGTTCGACCTTATCCCGCAAAGATTTCAGCGTCCTATGGTCCAGGTCACTTCGCCGACGAGCTTGGCCATCGACTCCCCACAAGGGCGCAAAATCTTTGTATTCGATAGAGTCTTTTCCGAGGATGTCTCCCAAGATGGAATCTGGGAATATCTTGCAGAGAGTACCAACTCATTTGTCCAAGGATACAATGTTTCTATGCTGGCATATGGCCAATCCGGCGCTGGAAAGTCCTACACTATGGGTACATCGGGACCCGAACAACAAGGCGATCTAGAGGTTATGGGTAGGTTCATGCCGGACTGGGATTCTTCTCCCACTTCTTTGCTTTGGACGTAGACACAGCTGATATAATTATAGGTGTTATCCCACGTGCTGCCATGGCTCTCTTTGATAAGCTCGAAGGTTTTGCGAGTCCACGCAATGGCAATCGCAGTTCAATGTCTGGATTACGAGCGCCTACAAGATATTCTGTACACGCTGCTACTACAACGACGAAGAATACCCAGAAGACATGGACATTGAAGGCAACATATGTCGAGATCTACAACGAAATGCTCCGCGACTTGCTCGTGCCAGAGAGTGTGCCTCATGGTGAGAGAGGCAATGTTACCATTCGTGAGGATGTGAAAGGTCACATTCTGTTGACTGGGCTGCATCAGGTGGAGATAAACTCTGTTGAAGATCTTTTGGCAGCTCTCAACTTTGGGTCCATGATTCGACAAACCGACTCGACCGCAGTAAATGCCAAATCATCCCGCTCGCATGCCGTATTCAGTCTTAATTTGGTCCAACGCAAGAACAAGTTTCAAACGGCCCAAGGCGCAGAGAAGCGGTTCTCAGTTCCATTGGAAGCCATGACGGGCGCTGACACCATGGTCACGATCGACAGCAAGTTTCACTTTGTCGATTTGGCAGGTAGCGAGCGTCTAAAGAACACTGGTGCACAGGGGGAACGTGCTAAGGAGGGTATCTCGATCAACGCTGGCCTCGCCAGTCTGGGGAAAGTCATCTCGCAATTATCATCTCGCCAAGCGGGATCCCATGTCTCTTACCGCGACTCCAAGCTCACTCGATTGCTCCAAGATTCTCTCGGAGGAAATGCAATCACGTACATGATTGCGTGTGTCACGCCGGCCGAATTCCACCTCAGCGAGACGCTAAATACCGTGCAGTACGCACAACGAGCCCGTGCGATTCAAAGTAAGCCTAGGATCCAGCAAGTGGCAGATGAGAGTGATAAGGTTGCCTTGATTGAACGCCTGAAGGCTGAGGTAGCATTTTTGCGCGAGCAAATCCGGAGCACCGAGCGGGGTGGAGACCGTCCTGCTCATGTAGCTGCAGGGAGGCCCGAGCGACAGAACGAACGTGAGGTCGAGCTTCAAAACCAGCTGCTCGACACCCAGGAAAATTACACTGCACTAAGTGGGCGCCATGCCAAACTTATCTCTGAGATGGCGCGAGCTCGAGAAAATGAAGTTGCCGACAGTCAAGCACACGAAAACACACTAGGCGACAGCGCCACGGAACGACTAAGGCGCTCTAATACATTCGCCGAAGCTGTGGAGCAAGTTGTATTGGAGTACGAAAAGACTATCCAGACCCTGGAGCAATCCCTTTCGAGTACCAGAAGTTCATTGTCCAACACTGAGACGGTTCTTTTGGAGAAGGAAACAAAGTGCGCCTACGTCGAGACAGTCAACGCACAGCTCCAAGCTCGCTTGCAGAAGCTGATCGATCGTGAATCCAGCACTGAGAATTATCTCCACGACCTGGAAGCCAAACTTGACGGCCACACTTCTGGCGAAGAGAAGAACTCGGCGATTGTTATGGAGCTACGCAAGGAAATCGCCCGTGTTCGCGAGAACGAGGCCGCATGCGAGGACTACATCTCGACGCTGGAAGAGCGACTGGCTGAGGCGGACCAGGATGCTGAGCTCATGCAACGGGAGATTGACCGGCTTGAACATGTTGTGGAGCGCCAACGAAGCTTGGGCAAGCTGGACAGCCTGCTGTACGAGCTTGACCACGTTCAGCAAGATGGAAAAAGTCCTGAGGCTGACCAAGTAACGCTCAATGGCAAGCGCTCGGCATACGGTCATTCTCGACAACGGAGCTCAACCAGTAGAAGCCATAAAGATGTAATCCCCGAGACTGAAGAAGGAGAAGAGGGAATTTCACGCAGCTCTAGCTGTGAGGATGTTCGACGAACAGCCAGCGATGGCTCCGTTGATCGCGCCGACCCAATCGAAGACAGTCATCTTCCTGAACCATCAGCTGGCAGTTATCCACCGCAGAGCCCGGCGCAGACTAGACATGTGGAGGATAAGCTCGAAGTTGTTTCCCAAGAACTCTTCGACCTCAAGGTGGAGCATGAATCCACCGTTAACGAATACGACAATCTTTCTCGTAAATATGAGGAAGCTCTCCGCACCTTGGCTGAGCTCCAAGATGCTGTTGACGAAGCCCGTCATTCAGCTAACGACTCACGCCTGACCAACTCATCACCAACATCGACTGGGCTTACTTCTTTTTTACCCGACGCGAGGGTGACCGAGCTCATAAAGGATGGAGGACAATACTCATCCTCGCGATCGCTATCATCGGAATTGTCCTCAGCTGGGGAACTACCCAGTACTATCGAAACATCTAATGCTGTAGCTGCGGTCGGGAAGCCGGACTCAGGAGAAGTGGCAAGCAGCGACGCCAATGAAGAGACGATTGCTGAAGAACTTGATAATCTACGGAAGCTTGCTGCAGAGAAGGAGCAAGCTCAATTGAGGCTGGCCGAGAAATATGCTCTGCTAGAAGAACAACACATGGATGCCCTTGATCTCGTGGAAGAACTCAAGTCAGAGGTTTCTAAGGCCAAAATGGTCGAGGCATCATCCCCACGCGCAGCAACGCCTGTCATACGTCGCAAGTCAAGTCAAAACGTTATGATCATCGATAAGGCCCATCGTGCTTTTGCTTCACTTCGAAACATCGCGACCGATAGTTTTGAGGACTGCCCAGATATCATGGCGAACTTTGAGTTGAATCTCAACACAGCAATGCACGAGCTGCACTCTCGATCCGAGCGAATACAAGAACTTGAAGCAGACATCACTGCTGCGAAGAAGGAGCTGGAGGCCAAGATGACCATCATTACCGGCTTGACTCGTGAACGAGCGAGCATGAAGGCGTCCCCTATGGACATGTCGGTTGTTTCGTCAATGCGTGATCAGCTTCTCCAGAACGAAGGGCAGATGCGCATACTCCAAGAAACTCATGCTGCTCGGGAGCAGGAATTACAGGCCGAGCTGGAAAGCCTTCGCAGTACAATCCAGCAGCGGGTAGCCTCCACCACAGATCAACAAGTTTCAGCGGAGCCTGCGTTGGTGGAACATGACACCCATAAGGAGATCCAGGCCAAAAGGATTGCGGATCTGGAGGCCGAACTGACCAACTGGGAGTGCCGCCATCAGACGGCGTTGGAGTCGATGGAAAGCTCCGAGAAGCACCTTTTAAACACCATTTCTGAACTGGAGAAGCAGCTGGCCGTTGTGAAGAGCGAGCAACATACCCGAGAAAATCACACAGAAGACGTTACCAAAGAGGGTGCTAGAATCGAGCTCATTCCTAGTCTGGAAAAGGAGATCAATGAGTACAGGGCTGCCGTAGCTGCCAACGCTGCACGGGTAGCTGAGCTGGAGCAATCTCATGCCGCCACTCGGCTTGAACTAGATGAGATTACCAAGTCCCGAGACGAATCACATGCTGAGATTGAGGGGTACAAGATGCTCGTTGCTAACCTTGAGCAATCGCACGCTGCAAATTGGGAACAACTGTGCGAAGCCACGAAATCCCGGGATGAGTTCCATGCCGAGGCCAAGAGACACAAAGAGCTTGTTGAAAATTTAGAGCAGCAAATAACAGAGCACGAAACCACCATCAAGGCCCATCAAGATGATATAAGTCTGTTGCATACGAACCACGCCAAGGAGCTCGAGGCTTTGAAGTCAAGCACCCCTGAAGACCACGAGGCTCGCGTTGCAGAGGCCACATCAAGGCATCAAGCAAGCATCGAGGAGCTTCAAAACGAGCTTGCTGAAGCTCGCGATGATCTCGTCAAGATCGCAACTCAGGTTGCCTTTGCTCTTGGTCTGGACGTCAGTACTGATAAATTGCAAGATAGGATTGCCAACGTTCTTGCTGATCAAAAGGCACTAGCCGAAGAGACGAAGAAGTGTCTTGAGATGCAGCAGCACCTTGATGAGCTCTCGGGTATAAATGACTCTCTGAAGAAGGAACTCGAGGGTGCGAAGTCCGAACTGGCCCGTTTATTGGTCGAGACCGCCGAAGGCGCCAAGCTCACAGACGAACACGCCACGGTCGCCGAGCAACTGGCAGCTTTGCGCAAGGAGATGACTGATCTCGAGACGAAGAACAAGAAAAACTCCCGGCTGGTTGAGGAGCTTGAGGATCAGCTGGCTTCGAATTTTGATCAACACCAGATTGCGAACAATCGCTTCTCTACTTTTCAGACAGAGCGCAACGCCCAGCTTGATGACGCGAATGCAGCTCGTGCTCGCGCCCAGGCTGAACTCGAAGCCGTCAAAGAGGAATGCGCAGAGCTTCAGGTAAGAAGAGCAGCTCATAGTTCCAGGAAATACGCTAACTTCTCAGGCCAAACTCGAGGAAATGGGCGCTGACCCGAAGCGCTCCAACCCGCAGCCTAATAACTCAGCTTCAGTGTCATCTCTGCCATCGCCTCCACCCGCCATTCCCCTCCCGCCTCTTCCTGGCAGTAGTGGCGCTGCTGTTCAGTCCACTAATCACGCTGCTTCTGTTCCGGTCCCTCATACTCCCACTTTGAGCAGTAGTCCTGGTAGCCCCAATCCAGCTGCTTCCCAAATAAATGAGGAGCAAGAGGTCCGCATTCGTACTATCGAGAAGCACCTCAACGCGGAGAAGCAGCTTACTCAGACGTTAGAAGAGGCTTTGACGGACTTAGAAAGACAAAGCAACAAGATGAAGGCCGAGGTCGATGCTTGGAGACGCCGTGCCACGGATCTTGAGCAGGAACTCAAAGACGCTAAGGAGAGAGAGAAGAATGGCGGTATGGACAAGGAGAACCGATGGAGCATGCTGCAGGTCGAGGAAGAACGCAAGAAACGCCGAGACGCCGAGATCGCCAGAGCACACCTCGAGGAGCGGATGAACGCCATCAGTAAAAAGAAGAAGAAGGGAAGTCTGAACTGCTTCTGAGCACTCATGCCTTCTCCTGTATCTGAAAATTTCCCCGCGTCTCCGGTGTTTTCACACAGATTCGACGGCCATGACGATGCTGTTATGTTTTTCTTTTCATTTTTCCTTACGGTCCTTTTTTCCCGAGCACATATTCTTTGCACGAGACCTAAATTTTTAATGATTTCTGAGCCACGGGCGGCAACTGTGCTATGGTGGCTTCCACCCTCAAGTAATTCTGATTGCCCGCGCTTCTTTTTGTTACGAGATACCACATTTTTCGCTCCGGTGTTGCGGGCGCTTGACTGAGCTTTCGATGAAGCTGGGCTAATGCGAGAATGGATGTGCACTGGCTTTCTTCTCTATCTTGGAGAAGTCATAGGCTGGACATGGGCAGTTTATTGACATGAGTGATGGGGGTACGATATGAGGCCACGATGGGCTAGCAGATGACATGGCGTATGAGTGGAACATAATGAATTTGCATGGCGTTTTTGCATTAGACTGCAAACATTCTGGCTAGAGCAGAGTAAAGTACTCGCTGGCTGCATTTGGGTGGATAGTTGGGGGGAATGGTGTCCAATAGATAGAAGAAGAATATACCATCAATACAGGAACTTCTTCTGTCTTGATCAACTCTTTGTTCAGAGAAACGTTCATCATGTCCGTCTATGCTTTATGGGGTATCGATACCAATACAATCCTCATGAGTGCTCGATAACTATCCACCTAGCTGTCGTCGTTCCCCGTGAGCCCGGGATCTTTCGATATTCCAGCGATCCTTACGAGCAAAGCCTCCTTCCATGCTTGGAACTCGGCCCTCTTCGCGTCGTTAACACAGAACTGCTCCTGAATCATGGTCCTAGGCTTGGTACGCCCGATCTCCCGCACCACCTCTACACCCAAATCCAGCATCTCCTCATCCTCATGCTCATGCTCTTCCTCTCCATCAACACCCACCCCCTCCTCAATATTCGTCCACCAATCCAGTTCCCTCCAGCCCTTCTCCACAATCTCCCCCCTCCAAGCATTGACATCCTTCTGCTTGACCTCCTCCCAGCCCGTCCACGCCTCGTCCCGCTCCCCCAGCCTGGCCCTCACCTCTCCGTCTTCCCTCGCCCCCCTCAACACCTCCCTCACTCTCTCCGTGCGCTTCACTCCCTCCACAGCTCTCCCCTCTGGGCCCCTCATCTTCAGCACGACAAAAAACCACACCATCGCCACCAGCGCGGGCACCTTGCCCTCCACGGCCCCCTCCCCCTTCGGACACGGCAGGCACAGTATACTCTCCACGCCCGCCAGGACGTGCGGCACCGCCTTCCGCGTCCCCATCTCCCTGCACAGCAATCGCACAACAGGACCGACCCACTTCGGCACCTTGCCCTCCTTGTCCCTCCTCGCGGGAAAGAACAGGCCTCTCTTCGCGCTGCGCTGGCTCTGGAAGCCGGACAGGGACTGCGCTCTTGAGGGCGTGAGGCGCTGCGGGAGCGCCTTGACCGGGGTGCGCGCGCTGTTGCTGCTGCTGCTGCTGTTGTTGTTGTTGCTCTTCGCAGCGTTCTGGAGGGCGCGCTTGCGCGCGCCGGAGGTGACGAGCGTCCGGTCAAAGTAGGCGTATAGCTTGCCGTAGACGCGCGGGGGGATCGGGGGCCGTGGCTCGATGGGGGGGAGGTTGAGCGAGGTTTTGAGACTGTTTGTGTGGGCCGCCCATCGCCCATCAATCAGCTTCACGTTCTCGCTGGATGGATAGCTGGGATTGGATGGGGAGGGGAGGGGGAGGGGGAGGGGGAGGGGGAGGGGGAGGGGAGAGGAGCTGGGGGCAGCTTACCGTTCGCAGGCTAGGTTCGCGCTGGCGTATACGCGCGCGACCTCCTCGTCGGGCTTCAGATTGCTGCATTTGTTGCGCGATTGCGCGAGCAGGCTGTTGGCTAGCTCGATGAGCTCTGCGGGGAGGACGCCCGAGTGGCGGGGGATGAGATTCGCGAGTGCTTGTTCGATTGGACGGCTCATTTTGGGCCTGGCACGTATGGGGGTCTCGTTGTATTAACTGTGTGTTGTTTTATACCTTTGCTTGCCTTCGCTCCCAGCCGGTGGTGGTTCCGGGCAAGGCTAGGAAAGTAGCAGACGAGGCTGGCTCTGTTTTGGCTCGGCGGCATGGTTGGCGCGGGGGCTCGCGTAGGTAGTAGGTCAGTCAAGGTGTGAGAAAAGGGGTCGCGCTTTTGTTGACTTTTGTCTCTGGCGCACCAATCAATCATCTGGAACGAGAACACCATCTGATATAAAATACATCTATCTACCTCACAACTTTGAGCAGCCGAAATCCGTGCAAGAAGTCTGATATGCATTATTATAAACGCAATCTACTTATGGTTTTCTATGCGCAGAACGCATATTCGTAACCCGTCTCTCTCCCTGTGCAACATTGCGATCGCGGGGGGAGTTCAGTGAACAGAAATTGCAAGCGAAATGATCGTCTGTCTGACTTGCGGAGGAACTCTGGACAGCTGAATTAATACCGTAGACGTCTTCTCTAACCGCACCCTAGAGCCGAGCCGAGCCGAGCCGAGCCGAGCGAGTGACTCCCCCCTCGCCCTTCTCCGCAGGCAGAAGGCAGGAAGGGGTACTCTACACGTACACGTACATACGTCCCAACCACGGCCCTAAAACAAGTCCGCGCCTGTTCAACCTCACGGCCTCGCTAAACACAGTTCCCACCGCACATGTAGGTAGCTGCGTAGATGTCGCAAGTCAGCGAGGTCGGTCTTTCCGATACTGGTGCTCGCAAGAAGTCCTCTAAGAGGTCCCCCTTTTATTCCTGCCTTGTTCGTCGACTCTCGTCTCTGAAGCGCCCTCGTCTCTGGCACGTGCGTCACGGCACGTCTCGTCACTTCCTTCTTTGATATTAGCTAGGTAGTTAGATTCCTAGACTCCTCTGGGAGTAAGGCCGGTATGCTTGCAGCTCTGTCGAGCCCTGAGGCGCTGTGATTATGATTGAGCGATTGGATATCAGGAGTCGCACATACATTTCAAAAAAAAAAAAACCATTTGGTGGTAGTGGTGGTAGTGGGGGCTGGGCTTGAAGCAAAGGAGACCATTCCGTAGGTATGTAAGGTATGTAGGCTTGGATTGCTTGCTTGCTTGCTTGCTTATTAGGTACTGTATATATATGTATAGTCCTTGACTCCTGGTGTATCGTTCCGGTCTCCTGTGCAATTTTGCACCGTCCACGCCAGTCATGAAAGGTGTCAGGCGAAGAGGATCGATGCGAAAGGGGGTTGGTTAGGTAAATTATAAGTAGTTGTTGCATGTGGCTCATCCCGTCTCGTGTCTACACCCACATCTCATGTGCAGGCTGTCATTTCCGAAATCGACTAAGAGCCTATGTCGGTTCAGAGAACCCCGATCTGATCACTCGAGCACCGGACCGATTCTCAACGGCAGCTTAAGCACAGATTATATCCCTGGACGAGTTTCCCCCGTAGGGTGGGTATACAGCTATATATTCTTTCGTTACGCTGTAAGAAGCCCCGGACTTTGTACAATCCAACTGCTTGCACGACCAGACTGATCCAACCAACTTACACAACTTCGCCTTCCTCTACAGACTCGTCACTATCGCTTTCCTCGCTGCTACTCGATTCGTCGCTATCGGACTCGTTCGTCCCTCCCATTTCTGTATCTGTGTTCCCTCTTGGCTTATTGCCTACTGCTTTCAGATAGTCGGACTCGAGCATGAAGCCTTTCGGTAGGCCTTCAGTTGTATTAGGCAGGACGTGTATCGTTGGGAATTCCAATATGTACCGTTGCCGTAGTAACTCGGTCAGCGGTTTGGTCGGACATATCGGGGCCAGAACTTTTGGGAAGGAAGCGGGCGTGAGCGGTCGATGTAGATAGAATTTATAGTCTGGGAATTTAGGGTTAGGCCTCGATGGACTCGACGTCTGAAGTTCAGTTTCATTGTCCAAAGCTGAGTTGGACGGTGTGAGATTCCAAGCGCCAGTGTTGGGATCTTGAAGGAGAGACGGAGTGGTAAGATCACAGAGGTCTTGCTTTTCTTCGATCCTAGCCTTCTTCGCAAGTCTCTCTCTCTCCCTCTTATCCTCCGCCTTCCTCTTCTGTCCGACCCGCTTCTCCCTCTTCCGCTCCTCCTCCGTCATACTCAAATACCGCTCCTCCTCACACATCGCATCATAGAAATCGCCAAGCGGCTTGCTGCCCAGCGCACGATACAGCGCCCTCGGAGCGCCCTCCCGAATCCACTCTACCTGCCAATTGATATGTCTGAGCTTCTTGTTCCAGCTCGTCGCATTCTCCTTGTTCCGCCGCATCCCCTTCGGCGCCTTGATCAGCTTTATATTCTCCTGCTTCAACATCTTCGCAACTTGCACCTCGCCCGGCAGCTCCTTAAGCCTACGCCCCGTCCGTCTGGCGTACTGCTCTTCTGTCTCGCCTGCTCTCGCAGCCTCCATCTGTCGTTTGCTCACCAGCTCCAAGTCTTCGATGAGTATCTTATCGGCGCGCTCCATGCGTGTCTCGATGCCGTGGATGAAGTTGTAGTCATGGTCGATGCCCCAGGGGGTCGCGACTTCCGAGATGGGTCTATAGACCGTGGGGTCGCGGATGCCGTTGCACATGGAGCGGATTTTGTGGCGCTTGGAGCAGGCGAGGGAGCACGTGGTCATGGAGCAGCGCGGGCAGGTGTAGATGGGCTCCTCGATGTGGCAGATTGTGCAGAGCGTGGAGAGGTCGTCCATGGTGCGGGCAGCTGAATCGGGCGGGTTCGTGACTGTGTTACCCCCAAGGTAGGATGTCTGGTAGGATGTCTGTACAATTGCAGCGATAGAAACAATCCCGGTATCCAATGCTGGAGTTATGGATGTTTCTAGGATACAAGCGGAACAAAGCAGAGCATTGTGTTGTTGTAGAGGGTAGAAAGACTGCCGTCGCCCGTCGCCCGTCCCGAAATTTTTAAATTTTGATAAGTACAGCCTTGCCAACGGGCGCTAGTGAAGTAGCAAAAAGGAAAAGTAAAAAAACGCCTGACCGCCCCCAGCCTTGCATACCTCGATCACCAACAACATACCGGTCGGTAGCCATAGCCAACTTCACTCCGCTCCGCTCCAGTCCATTCCATTCCAGAATGCCGAGTCTCCTGCTCGATGTTCCATCTCCATCGATCATGGCCTTCACAGCTTAACTTTCCCTGTACCTCAGTCACATCCTGCATGGCTTGGTTCCGCAACTACGGACTGATAGGAAGATAGGAAGACACTCCAGTCTCCACGGACCACGCCGTCAGCGAAGGAAGGCATTGGTAGGCGTCAAGTCACACCGCCTCTTACTTCGCTATCGAAATGAACGGTAAGAGCCCTCTTGGGCGTACAGCACCAATTGATTTATTACTTCTCTTACCGTTCCTGCGCCTGGGGATATACCTTGTGTATAAATATACCTCCAGATACCTCCGTACACCTCCGTATACAGGTCCACGCATCTATCTCGCCTGGCTCATCTCACCTCCTTTCTCCCCTCTCCTCTGCGCTCCTCTCGTACGTTCTGCAATATCTGGTACTTGCTTGCTCGTTTTTCTGGTCGAACGTCCTCTTTAGCAGTCGAGTGCCTTTGCTTCCCTGGCGTTGTCGTCGTTTTCGCGCTCTCGTCCTCTCGTCCTCTCGTCCTCTCGTCCTCTCGTCCTCTTGGTCTGTCTTTCTTCGGTCTGGTGCTGCTGCTGGTGCTGCTGCTGGTCCTCAGGTCCTGTCGAATCGAGGTATCAGAGCACCGTTGTACTCGTGTATCACGGTACGGTACGGCATAGATACATACCAGCCATACCTACTTTGCTCATCTCGTCTCGTCCTCGCGCATCCCGTCGTCTCATCCGTGGAATTACCGCCTTGCACTCCCCCGTCTCACCTCCTCGATCTCGTGTCACTCTCTCGGCTCTGGCATACAGTTACACACCATCACACCAAAATCTCGTCCCGCGCCCGACCGCCATGCCTCCTCCAGCCACAGTCCCTGCCCTCGTCTGGGACCAGGACCAACCGATCAGCGCCCTCTCCATCGGTCTCGACGCCATCGTCCTGCACTCCTGGCGAGACAATTCCAACTTCGGCACTTCGGACCCAGAGTACCCCTATTTTGGCATGGAGCTGCAGATCTGCTGCTGGAAATCCGCATCGCCCACGTCCCACATCCTGGCGCGGTACACGGGCGGTAAGCTCAAGAAAGATGCTCTGTACCAGCTCACCGGCCGTTTCTTCATCGACACCTCGGCGGAGGGCGGGAAGTCGTATCTGCATATCGACGAGGCCGTTCGGTTCCAAGGGCCGGGCACGCTGAAGAGTTATCGCAAGCCGCAGTTCCTGCTCGTCGGGGAAGTGGTGAGTGTGCTGGAGAGGGCGCTGGTCATGCGGTGGGTCACGCGGGATCCGTACCGGAGGGAGATGACCTACGAGCAGAGCGCGGTGGTGGCGCTGGAGAAGGGGTTGAGTGAGAAGGAGAGGCTGAAGTACGAAGGGCAACTCTGCCTTGTCGAGGGACGCATGGAGGGGCTCGATCACATGAATGATTGGGTATGTCAGCGTGTTCGGGAATTGTAAGGGGGTTGGTTGTCCAGAATCGTTTGGGGTGCCTTTCCGTGGGGTTTGGAGAGTCTACACGGGCGTTGGAAAGCCAGAAAGAACAGCAGAAAAAAGGAACCAGGTTGGCATTTTGGTGTGGGAGTTTGGGGCTGGGAATCGGCACGAGGGGTTGAGTTGAGAACATCAGCTTTTAGATTGATTGGGAAATGGAGGAGGCATACTCCTGATTCTACGCACGCGGCACTTGTTCTGTAGCGTACTTTCTCTCACCTCGATCGATTAGATGTTTGCTACCAGCTGAGGCGTCGGTGGGTGGGGGTCGTACTGGTTGTCTTCCGCAGTAGCCAATTGAAGACGCCACAATCGACGACTCCCTCCCTCCTCCGGCCTACCTCAGGAAAAGATATGTGATGGCGGAGTTGATATGTGATGGAGGAGTATATATGTGATGGAGGAGTCGATATGTGAAGGAGGACAAGATATGTGATGGAGGGGTAGATATGTGATGACGGAAAAGCAAAGCAAGAAAACGAAACGAAAAGAAAAATCAAGGTGACGAGACCGAGATACGACGGCGCGACTGCCTGCTGCGTGCCGTCTCTTCTCCGCCGCATCACGTTCTAGCGGTACCACTACCTAGTAGGTAGGACACCACATCCGCTTCTCTCTGTTCACCGAGTACCGAGTACCGAGTACCGGTCGGTACCTGTGATGCGATACCGCACGACAAGTACTACGTAGGTACGGTAGCAATACGGAATTCGTCTGTCTGTCTGTCTGTCTGTCTGTCTGCCTGCACGGGTGCCCCCGCGCCGCCCCTCCCTCCTTTCCCCCCCTTTTTTCTTTCTTTCTTTTTTCTTCTCTTCTTCTCTTCTTACAGTAGGTAATACTACGTAAAATCGAAGTCCAAATCCAAAAGCAAAAGCAAAAGCAAAAGCAAAAGCAAACCCCCCCCCCCCACACACGTGCGCAAACCCAAATTCCAGATTCGTACTACCGGTACGTACTACGTACGTACTTCCGAGTGAACGACCGACCGACCGAACGACCGCCACCGTGTCATGCCGGTCGCAACTAGTAGTAGTAGTAGTAGTAGTAGTAGTAGTAGTAGTAGTAGTAGCACGCGCTTACTACGTAAGGTACGTAGTGCTTTTACGTACAGTACCGGTACCGGTAGTAGGTACGTAGTAGGTACTTCGGTCACGAAGTAAGGTAGGGTAGGGTAGGGTAGGGTACGGATACGGATAGGTACCGATACCGTAGGCTTACGTACGTAGTACCTACGTTGCCCCTCTCGAAGCGAAAGCGTGATGATGATGATGTACGGTAGCTAGCGAGTTGGGGAGGGGGTGGATGTGACATGTAGTAGTAGTAGTAGTAGTAGTAGTAGTAGTAGTACTTGGTACTACTACTAGGTACTACTAGTTGTTTGAATGGACTACGTACGGTAGCTACGGTAGGTAGGTAGTGTGGCGATCGGGTCGGATCGGTTAGGGCGACCTGGCTTTTGAGGGGTGTAGTTGGGGTGGTGGAGGCTGCGTGTTTTTTCCTTTTCTTTTCTTTTTTTTGTTTGGTTTGTTTGGTTTGTTTGGTTGGTTTGGTTGGTTTGGTTGGTTTGGTTGGTTTGGTTGGTTTGGTTGGTTTGGTTGGATTGGATTGGATTGGATTGGATTGGATTGGATTGGATTGGATTGGATTGGATTGGATTGTTTGTTTGTTTGTTTGCTTCTTCTTATGGTGTGGTGTGGGACGGTATGGGACGGACGGTATGGGACGGGACGGCATGGCATGGCATGGCATGGCATGGCACGCGTGGAATGGGGGATTGGAAAGGTGTGGAGCGGGATCGAAAACGTGGGAGCGGACTGGACTGGACTGGACTGGACTGGGCTGGGCTGGACTGGACTGCACTGGACTGCACTGCACTGCACTGCACTGCACTGGGCTGGTCTGATCGGGTCACGGACTGGGCTGGACTCGATGTCAAACTCCGATCGGCTCTACCTGCTTACTTAGTAGTACTTACTAGCTTACCCCTGAGCTACTTACGCTTATGGACTACTGTACGGTACAAGCGTCAGGCACTGGCACTAGCCCGGGACCAGAACCGCGGCCGCTGCTTTGGCTTGGCTTGGCATTGGCATTGGCATTGGCATTGGCATTGGCATTTACGGCGTTGGGAAGGGGAGGCCGCTTTTACGCTGGACGTGGACGAGGACCTGGACCTGGACCTGGACCTGGACGTGGATGGCTGAGTGAGTCGATATCACGATGGCCATCAATCCGCCTCGTCTCGATCATTAATCATCACGAGAAAGCTCCCCCTTCCTGCTTCCTCGCGGTGCTGACAGCAACAACGACTACCACGATGGATGCAGCGGGCGTCGAAGAAGGTTCATTTTGATGGGATGGGTGCCAAAAGAAGCCTCCCGTAGCTTAGCCATCCTCTGCAGGCTTCATCCTGTGCAGGGACTCGGAGAGACTAAAGTACTACGTAGTAGTAGGTACAGTACTGAGTGAGTACTGGCTGTCCGGTAGGTGCCTCGAGGACGGACGGACGGACGGACGGACGGACAGACAGACAGGCAGGCAGGCACCGGCCATACCGGATTCCTGGTGGACCATACTTGGTACAGTAGGGGACAGTGAGGGGCCCAATACCCGTGCGCATATGCAGGCTCGAATAAGTACAGTACTACTACTACGGTACGTACTACTACGTACCACTACAGTACGGCACTGGAAAGTAGTACGAACGTAGTACGTACGTAGTAATAGATTTCCCGGGAACCTCGTTGTCGGTCTCGTTGCACTGTACCGTAGCTGTCGGTAATACGGAGTAGTACAGAGTAGTAGTACCTAAGTAGTAGTACTACCTTACGTACCTCAGTTGTAGGTACCTGGTAGATCGATCTTGAATGGGGGGGGCTTAAGCACCCAAAGTGGCATGCGGTCTACGGCTGCAGGACCGGCATCCCTAGTCCAGTACTAGTACCAGTATAGTAATCAGCCCTTTGGAACTTGGGACCCGTGTCTTGGTCCACTCTCTGAGACTTGTCTCTCTCTCTTC